TCGCCTATCAGATAGATAGTCCCTAAACCAGTTGTAGGCTACACCTCTTATACCCATGTTTTCCAAACGGCTAAGCAATATAGGAATCGACACTGTATCAAAAGCTTTTTGTAGGTCCAAAAAAACACCTACACATTTTTTACCACAGTTAAGATATTTGGATATCAGAGATGCTAATCTTAATACGGCATCTTCTGTTGACCTGCCCGAACGAAAGCCAAATTGATTATTATCAATAAAATTATTTCTTTCAAGGTACCGTATTAATCGTTTATTCACGACTTTTTCCAATATCTTTGACAAAGTACTAAGAAGTGAAATTGGCCTATAATTTGAAGGGAGCTACCTATCACCAGATTTGTATATAGGACAAACCGTAGCTTCCTTGAAAATGGCAGGAAAAACACCTTGCTCTAAACTTAAGTTACAAACATACGATATTGGCTCAGAGAGCACATTAATATACTTCTTTAGGAAATATGAACTAACAGAATCAAATCCAGGGGCACTATTTGTTTTTAAACTTAGTATAATCCGTTTTATTTCTTCGATATCTGTGGGTTCGAGGGACATAGACATAAGAGGTGTATTCGGGATTCTAGCCTTTTTTGCCAATTCATTTTCACTGGTGTTTAGTTTTTGAAGTGTAATGTTAGCCAAGTTATGCCCCACTGACGCAAAATAACTATTAACTTTGTCAAGAGATTTAGTGGGAGAAATATCAACATCAAGTAATTCCTGCGGAGATTCCTTTTTCTTATGTATGTTACACACGTTCTTTATTATTTTCCATGTTTCTTTATTATTTTAAGCATTCACATGTAGTTTTTTCTTTATAATACTGCCTCTTAGTAAATTTTGTTAACTTATTACACATATTACGGTATTTTATATAGTTAGCGAGAAGTTCTTCACTATCAGAATGTAATTTAACTTTTAGGTGCATCTTATTTCTTTTACGTATGGAAATAATAATACCGTGTGTAATCCATGGTTTAAGTGGTCTAATTTTTTTAGGTAGCTCTTTGATGATTGTGTTATTATTAACTACGGTTTGTAATTTTGTCAATAAAACTTCTGCAGCAATATATGCATCGGTTATATTAAAAAAGTTTTGCCACCTTTCAGTTGACAAAGAATTATTTATAGCATCATAGTCGATATATTTTTATTTTAAAAGAGTATTATTTTGAGCGGTTTTCTGAGATTTTATGTATAGCAAAATTGGAGCATGGTCTGTTAACGGGTCAAATACAAAAGTACCCCAAGTATTAACACTTTTAATCATAAAGTGATCGATACAAGTATATAGTCTAGTGGGAAGATTGACACCATGCTTGAGACCATACATTGCAATCAGGTTAAGGTAGTTTTGCACGTGCTTAGAACTGTTGGATAGTATATCTAAATTTGTCACCTGTCAAAATAATATGAGGAGTATTATTATTCTTAAGAACGTTTTCTAAAGAATGTAGATAATAATTTGGATTATGATAACTGGGTGGTCTATAAGAACAAATAATTGAATATTCCGAATCTATATTTATAATCAAGCAATTTCCTTCTTGAAAGGGTGGTTCAGTTACTGATGAATTTAAAGAAGTATGAATGTAAGCCACGACGCCATCATTTTTGTTTAAATAATTAACAGTTTGATACATCTTGTAATCGGTGATATTAGGTGGTGTGAAATTATTATTAGTCCAACATTCGGTTAAAACTAAGACGTCAACCTGAATACCAAGACTTGCAACAAACGTTAGAAGTAAATCAAAATTTCGATTTATACTACGAATGTTGACGGACAGTACCACCAACAATCCATCTGCACTAATAAAAAATTCTGAACGCTTTGATGGATCATTTATGAATTTGCAATTAATATTGTGATACTCATCTATATCCGTTGCTATAATATTGTTAATATTATCTATATTAAGATCGATATGTGTAAAACCAGTGCATTTTTATAACTCAGTATATTAAGTTTGATTATATTTTTGATAGTAGTAAATTTTATAAACCATGTATTAATGTATGTATTAAGATTATGATAATATTTAGAATTGTAAATTGTGTGAAAGTGATATAACATGTTGTTTATGTTTTTAAGACGTGCGTTTTTTGAACGCGTATGTGATTTCATTTGTATAAAGTGTATGCAAGAGTATAACAAAAATATGTGTTTTGTGTATTGTAGTGTGTATTCGTGTTTATAACTAAGTGCGCAACATTTAAATGGGAATACAATAAGAAAAAACTTAATGACTACATTAAAACTAAAGAGATAAGAAAAATGAATATCATTTACAAACATAAAATAAAAAAATTTCGTGATACAATATGATGAATGAAATACTAGTCACTTTTCTCTAATTTTTTCCAAATCAGCTTCACTTTCGATGCGAACCAAGGGTGTTCCTTCTTTTTTTCGGAGGTAGACTTTATCATGTGCAGTCCAACAAAAAACATAATTGTTTGCTTTTGCAAATTTTCTTGAAATTAAGAATAAATTTCTCGTTTTGCTTGTAAGAGACTCTGATATATAAATAAGCTGGGATGGACCGTCAATTTGTATATTTTTAGTGTTAAATTTATCGTTTTTGTGTCCGTTGTTATATTTCTTAAAAGCATCAATAAAGCAATCTCGTATTAATACACTGATGAAATCTACTATTATCGGTTTATTCGCTGATTTTGTGTTAATGCGATACACATCTTTAATATCAGATCGGTTAATGTCTAGTTTAAGTTGTTGTCCTGAGCTAATAACTATATCAGAGAGGGTTTCCTTTGTCTCAGACGATTTTTTGGGAATATTTCTTATTTCTAAACTCGTAGAACAGTGGTTTCGCTCAAGTTTTTCGACTTTTTTTTCTAGTAATTGAATATAATGCATGTTAGTTTTTTTCTCCGCCTCCAATATATCAAGTAGTAGTTTTAATCAAATCATCGTATTTTTCTGATAAGAACTCTATTGACTTTTGCACTGCAGTATTTTGTTCCTTTATGATATTTAAAAATGTCGTAATTTTATCCTCTTGATCTCTTTGGAAACTCGTAAACATATCCTTGATTTCTTTTTTTAATAAGTTTAATTCGTCTGAGAACTCATTATTACATCGCTTTCTTTTACTACGCACCGATACAGTTGATGAAGAGTCGGAGTCTTGCGTAATAGGGAAATATGGTTCAGAATCATTATGCGGTGAATGTTGCATGTTTGCGATTTATAAAATTCTATTGTTTAGGTACCAGGTTAACATAAATGTTAAAACTATTGCAAGCCCGACGCACGGGTAATTATTACGGAGGTCTATTAAATTGGACGCCGATCGGTGTCCAGTATAACCAGACTCTCGATGCAAGCAGGGGTCACGTATGTTGGACGCAATGGTCGTTATGCGTATATAACTGTTCACTGTATGTAGATCTCTCAATAGATAAATTTAAGCGACTCACGTATTGATGAGGGTATTTTGACTTAATTGTTTCGTATTGCAATAGTTCTTCTTGTTTCTATGCACTCCTATTTTCTTAGTTTTATTAACTGGTTATTTTAATTTAAAGTATTTTGAAAGGATTGGTTTATAAACACGTCTGTCTTCTACAAAGGTCCGGAGGGAAGGGGGATTGGATTAAGTTTGCAATGTTAAGACGGTAGGCGAAGAATTGTAATGCCATTACTTTTGGCAGTCTCATCTATTAAATATTTATTATATTGTGAGGCGATTTTGGCAACTTTCTTTAATAATTCTTTTTTTTAAATAAGTCATGTCCATGGATTTGCCTTTGCTTTGCAGCCAATCTATTATTTGCTGCTTGTTCCAGCTGGTTGTTGGTATTTTTTCGACTCTTACCGAATCCTTTTGTTCTTTAATAATTTTATAAACAGTATTTTAGGACACACCGCATACACTTGCTGTTTTTATTACTGTGCTCTCCACAGTCGCATTTAAATCACACAGTTTAAAGTACTTATAAACATTGTAAATTACGCGTCTCTCTCCGCTATGCACTTTTATTCTTTCGAATAGGTGAGGTATTCATTTTCAAATTTTAATGTTCATCCAGTAACACGCAAAATACACAACCGTTTTGTTCGAAGGCCTGACTTCAGCTGGTCACTATGAACTCGACTTTCTAATTTATTGCATTTTAATTGGCTGGGGGGGCGTGGCCAGGCCGGCGGACAACGATGACTCACTATTTTCTTAACGCGAATGGACTATAGTGTACATCCTATTCCTATACATACCTTTGGACGTTTCTTTTTCGGAGAAGTAAAATCTGTTGATTTATCTCTCGACGTCTGTGGCTCCGTCATTAACCACTCTTAATAAAAAACAATCATCAACAAAACAAAATAACAATAATTAAATAAACAACAATTACTAAAATGTCTTCCCGAATGTTGGCGAATCCGTCTTGACCCTGACATGTTTTTGCCAGAAAACGAGACGTTACGACAAATATACAAGATGGAAAGAGATAGATAATAGATTGTCAGCTGCACAGTCGTTTTTAGGGTAACTGAGCTTTCGTATCGCTGCTTGTTGGCCGTAATATTTACGAAAATGAAACTTCTTTAGAATCGACGAGATTTGAAACTCAATGAAACAAAAAAGCAACACTAAAAATAAACAAATATATAAATCTATGGGATTTTCCTACGAGAGAATGAGAATCTACACAAAGCAATTTTAGTGGAAATAAAATATTTTTTTAAATAATATCTGCACTATTAAGGATCTGCATGTCTAACAATAAGGATTGTAACACTTATTTGCTATTATCTAATCTTATATTTTAAGTCGCACTTATGATTGAAAATTATCAAATTAAATAAATCATTTGCTGTGAAATGTTTTTATTTTATATTTAATTTAATATGAAGGTTTCTATTCTACCGCGTGTGAATTGCACACGTGCTTTTAAATATTGATTTAAAAAAAGAATGGATTAATTCTTCTCTTGCCTGTTTAGATAATGTATATCTACTAATCGACGGCATCATTTAGGAATGCGAATATAGAATATCCATTATATAATGCCTGTGAAAGAAAAACAGAATTAATAACTTGTGTTGCTTACAAAATGGGATATTTCACACAGGCCTCTTAAATATTTTCAGATATTTGATAATCTAAATTTTATTTCCCACAACAATGTAGGTGTGTCTTTATGTTGATGTTATATACGCCAGTATGAATATACGTATAAATATACGTATATAAGTCTATGGTGTTATATTTGGTTGTATTTTTTGGATAATATCATAGTTACCAAAATGTTTTTCATCAATCGTCAATACTTTAGTTTGTCTTGTTGTAAAAACCTTTGGAAAAAATCTTATTACATTATAATACATATCTCTATTTAATAATCATCATCTATTGAATTTCTTTTTAATACTAATTCATACATTCACATTTAATTTAATATATAAATAAAAGTATTTTTACACAAACACCAATTCATAGTTTTTGATACGATAATTAATATAATCAGCTCGTGGGCTATAACAATAAAAAATCCCTTTGTTGAAATAAATTAATATTACGGACGTTCATTTTTTGAAAGTCTAATATAGGCATTGAACGGAGTGTATAACGTGGTCTGATCAAACTATTTAAATCTTTGGGTCTGATGACATTTGAGGAAAAACAGAGATTTTTAAAGTAATGTGATGTATGACATTACATTTCGTATCGAGTAATTTTGCATTACACGATCACTCAAAACATGACGCGGCAGGCGACGTCCTTATCTTCCGTATTCTTGTGAATTTTATCGCTAGCTCTGTTATTTCTGAACAAAATGCCATCGGAATGAAAATAATAGATAACTTCATCTCATAGACACAGCCAAAGTAGAAGTGTTGCTTGTTAGTCGGCGGCAAGCACCACTCAGCGGAGATTTATTCTTGCCGCCTCTTCTCTTCTTCTTGACACATAGGAACTCACGTAGCGTGCAGCCACGCACACGCACTATATCATACTCATTTCTCTCGAATACAGCACTACACGAATTTCGAAGAAAGATATAGACCGAAATACTCGTAGGCAGCTAGGCAGCATCAACTACACGCTGAATCATCTTTGGTGTGATGTGTGATGGTTAATTTAGTCATGTGTATGCGGTTAGGTTATATTACACGGAAATAATCTGTGGTTATGTCACATTTCCACAGTAAAACAGAATAGTAGGATATTTTCGTGCCTGGTACGTGACAGTATGGACTCATACGCACGAGCCACAGCACGAACACAACGACACTTGCTAAGTCGGAAGATCGAGCCGAGTCGGGGACGCCCACTGCCGCGCTCTGCAAATTACCTTTATTTGAGACTTATTTGACTTTTAATAAAATTTTGCTAGCAGACCCCCCCCCCCCCTACCCACACACCATGCCCTGACCGATGAAATGCTGTAGTTTATTTTAAGAGGATGCCATTCAGAAGCATAGATAAGTTTAGAAGTCATAACATTATAACAGAAGATACATGTGTTTGCCCTTCACACTAAACTCTTTTTTCAGACTTTACATTTACCCATATCTGAAATAAATAATATTCATACTACATGTATCTATTGTAAGCTTACCTGACTATATGTTTGCATAGACATGGTGGCTACTCCTCCTGCACTTAGGGAAAGCGGTTTTTGCGCTACTTTTATTAATAAAAGCAGGTCTTTCTGCATGTCAAGTGGCCAAGAAGTCCACGATGTTTCATACGCGGCATTTGCTATGAGTTCACTCTAGCGTGTAATTTACAGATCTAAATTAATCTTTAAATTATAAAAAAAATTATAAGATTCATTGATATGTAAAAAGTCTTTACCTGTGAAATTGCCGTTTTTTAGGAAATAAGTTAATGTAATTTTTTATATATCTATTATTTATATTAATCAAAATAATCACCCATGCAATAGATGCATCGTTGCCAACGTAGTGGCAGTTTATTGATGCCCTTCTTGAAGACACAGCTGGACGGGAGGCAACAAATTCTTCAAATACATTTTGTACTGCCTCTCGGCTATTGAATTTTTTCCCGCAAAAAAGTTATCCGAATTCTGGAAAAGTAGAAGTCTGTAGGCGCAAGGTCTAGTGAGTACAGCAAATGACGGAGAGCTTCCAACCCCAGCAGTTGTAACTTGTTTCGTGTGATCGATTGTTGTGCAGCGAAGACGAGCGATTGACCAAAGCTGGTTAGTGTGGACTACTGGACGTGCAAGCTTCTCCATCATTGTATTCAGTTCTTCACAGTACACAGGTGCAGTAATGCTAATCCCGTTTTGTAAGAAACTGTGACGAATCACTGAACCAGGATCCAATCAACCTGCTGAGCGCTTACGATTATCAAACAGAATCCATTTTTCTTTGCAGGTAACAATGCGGTTCAAAACTTCTTCGCTTGTGTGCCTGTTCAGCAGTGCAAGGCACGTCTAGACGCGTACTTCGTGCTGGTAATCATTGAGTTCGCGGGATACCCATTTGTCAAGCTTTTTTTCCATGCCAATTTGACGCAAATGGACCAATATTGTTTTGATGCTAACGTCAAAAGCTGCTACTTATTCAGCCGTAGATTTAATATCATCAGCTTCCACAATCGCCTTTAAATCGTTGTTTTTTTACTAAAGTTTTCCTATGACCATGTTAATTTTTCAGGTCGAAATTTCCAGAACAGGAGCGGTCAAACCAATAACAGGTGGCGCTTTCGCTTATAGTATTCGCTCCGTAAACTTCGTTGATGTTGCGAGACGCTTCTACCGCGATGCTGTCACGACGATACTCATATTCCATAATTACTTACTCGATTTTTTTTTTCATATCCATGATGACAAAAATATTCAAATGCGATGAAAACATAACGCTAATCAATAAACCAATGACTAATTTTGAAAAACGAATTCCATGTTTTTAAAAAAAAATATTTGTAACTAGAATTCTTAGCCAAACAAAAATTATTTTGATTTAAAATGGTCAATACTGCAGAACGACAATTTCATAGGTAAAGACCTCTTTCTGATTTGACCTAGACAGAATTAGCAAGAAACACAACGGAACTATATATTAAAAAAATAGATTAATACATTAGAAAAAGTTGTTGTAATAAATTTAGAATACACAGTGAACACCTCATTCCCAGACATTATTATTATTAGGATTCACCAGTCGTTCAGTTCAGTTCCGCTAGCAGCGTTGAAATTATAAATACAATCGAATGTGTATTCTGGTGATGTGGTGGCGCTGTCGTCGCGCCACAACTGCAACGCATTGAAGCGTAAATCGCGCTATCAAAGTTCCGAACGCCCTGCGATATTTGTATATTATAGAAGAGCGATTTACCGCACCAAATCGAGAAGAAATCTACGGAGAAATCTACCGCCGGGACGGTAGATTTCTCCGTTTTCACTCACGGCCAAAATGCTTACCTACGTATTTTGTAACCAGAGAAATTATTGTGAAATTCGTGATTTCGTATTATAACACCACGCCTTGGCGGGCTGTTTTGCGATAGAACCTTTTTGAAAATGAAAGGAAACGTGCTCAGTGGTGGAATGTATGTTTATAGGCTGCTTAGCTGTACAGACTTTATTTTATTACTTTAAATAAATTTCCAATGACTTAAATGTTATTCTAATATTAACACACCTGGACAATCATTTCGTTTCCCAAATAGCTGTAAATATACGCATTTAGTAAGGCTATTAACAAAAATGCCAAAAAACTTACTAAAAGCGTCTTTTGCTCAAGGCCAACCTGTAAAATATTACAAGAAATTTATTAATTTAAAATAATAACTTATTATGATGGGTTCATATTAACTTATTAAATATCTCACCATTGTCACCATCATAGCATTCAAACACATCTCCACTGACACGGCTAAATTTTGAATTAGGAAAAACTCCTCAAATATCGTCGACAATTGCTTAGAATTTCTGGAATATGTAGATATTTATATTAGTTTTAATAAATATTCAATATTTGAAAGCAAGACTATCAGTTCGCAACAATCTACTGTTTAACATGGGTTTTTTATTGTGGAAAAGACTGGCCGTAATCGCCCCGTCCGTATCCGATAAATTAACGATCTCAGAATATGGTTAGGTGCAATGACATTGCAAGTTTGTGTATTTTACGATGTTGTTTAACTATAAAAAATGGTATACCGCCATCTATCCAAGGCCATGAGGTTTTTTTGGCCTTTCCAGTAGTAATTTCTTACGCAACCACAGGGACGAAAATGAATGTTGGTTTCGTTTTAGGTTATACAATTTAACTAGCCAAACCATAGATACTGTCAATTGATTATTACGAGTAAAATTATTTGTCGTTTGAGATCAAATCGATCTCCACCAGGTAATGAATCCATTTCCATGAAATAACAATCGACTACTCTTTGAGTATTAAACTATTAATATTATACGAAACTTAAAATAATCAAACTGGTTTATGAATAAAGTAGAAGTTAATACTATTGAAAAATGGTTTATGGTTTTCATGAATCACTAAACGAAACAGTAGCATTCTGTAGTGAAGCTAGTATTCTGTGAGACTTTATTCCTACCCCGGTCAAGCCTACTCCAGAACCCAAACATACTCCAGAGATAATTCTGCTGATTCGTTTCTCCCCGTAAAGTGCCAATCTACCAGCCAATCATGACGCTTGATCAATATTTAGGAAACCAAATGTTCACAATTTATTCACTAAACGTTCATTATAATTGCGGATAGATTTATTTTCGTATATTCTAGCATTAAGACAATTTACCTCATCAAGCGCATGTGTTTCTTTACAATTTCCCTAAACTCGCTTCTCATTGTTACTTCAGTTCCGGATGAATATTGTAAGGCCTTAATTCTTTTTTGCAAATCTATAAACTGATCGCATAAATACATTACTGTGCTACAAACGATCCCCTGCATCGCTATAGATCTGAATGAACAAGGAACGCTAAACGATATAAGTATTATTTGCAACGCCAAGAAGTAGTTCGTTATATTTTTCATCGGGTCGAAAGGCATCCAAGCCTCTACTAGCATTTCCATCTTAAATACAGCTAACAAACTAAATGCTCCGATTATTGCTGTAGTCACAACGGTTATAATAACTACGTGAAATGCCATCAATCGCTTGCGTTTGTTAGAAATACTATCACCCGAATAAGTTATTTCCTTGAGCAATTTCTTCACTTGTTCCCGCTTAAAAACAAAAACAATTACTTTCAAAACAAAATTGTACGCAACCAGTGTCTTGTCTAAATTTGACAACAATACTATAAAATTATTCCTATGCTGATAAGTGCCAATGCTAGTTATTATCACATAATAAAGAGATAAAATGTGTAAAACTATCTCATATAATTTGTACAATAATGCACTTTTTCTTGAAAAATCCTCTCTTGGCCATAATCCGACATAAAATAAACATTTTATATTAAAATCAAAACAATTCTGACTGGGCAAATGTTTCAACGCCATGATAGCTATCCAATATGTGATGTCGAATTGCTTGCAAAGATAACTTCGTTCGAGCTATAAAAACTTGAAATTTAAAGTCACACAACTACTAAGTAATTGATGATTATAGGTAATCAGTTCACTTTTACGACTTCTACGACGTTCGCCGTTCTCTTAAAAAGCAAGTCTTTCGTTATAATAAGTAAACATAAATGAATTGATGAAAGCAAAGATAACGATGTTCCTTAGGTCTACGTGATGGTATTTCAGTTTTTATCTTAATGAAACAAATTTTTCTTTTGTTGAGAACCATTCTAAGTCACTTCTAATGCTAATATTCGGTTCGGGCCGAAATTCTTTTTTCAACAAACACCAACTGTGTTTTAACTTCGTGCTGCCATGTGTCCGTGGCCGCCATGACCGAAATCCGGTGTGGAAGAAATTAAAGACAAAATGATAGAGCTACTGTTTTTTAACAGAATAGCAGCGATAAAGAATTATGAATTATAGTGGTAGCCACGCACGCTTTTGCTGTTGCACGGATGGGTCAGGTGACCGGAGGTCCAATCCCCTCCCTCAATCACGATGGTATCGAAATTAAATAAGAGACTACCCCAGGAGTCTACCAGCAACTCTGGTAATGTAGAATCCCTCGCTGAGCATCCACGAACAAGCTACTCTACTCCTAAGCGTGGGTGTTTAGGCTGCTTCCACGTATTCTTGGAGGGGGGGGGGGGCAAAATGACAAAAACTGCTCGGGACAAACTGAGCAAAAAGACTACTTAGGCGATCCCTGCCAAGCAATCCGTGGATTTCTACAAGATCAGGTCTTAACTCGAACCTAAACGCCGTCTACTACCTTCTGCAGACGAGGAAGCCAGCCTTGCTCTTTCTGAACGAGACACAGGTGTCCTCTCTGGCTGATACTTCGATTCGATTGGAACACTCTTTTGTGCCTCGGGTTGGGGTTTGCGTATACCTCAGAATGCCTGTTCTCGACACCTCGGCAGTTTTGAAGGTTCGGACTTGTCCATCCTTTGGCTACGAGTAGACAGCGACTACCATCCGCACGTCTACCTACGGATCCTATAGGTCCCATAGCGGTAATGCCGAAACAGACCGACTTATCAACCACTTCCAAATGGCTGCAGATTCCATACACGGAGATAGTGATCCTTGGCGATTTTAACACCCATCACGCCGAATGGCACCGATCATACGAGGGGATCTGTTTATGACTTTGCTTTGACATATGGTTTGTCACAATTGGTTACTTCGCCTACGCGGATTCCAGATATGTAGGATTATGAACCCTCCCTGTTGGAACTTCTGCTGACCTCTCATCCAGACGGATATCAAGTCTCCATTGACGCCCTTCTTGGCTCCTCGGATCATTTTCTGATCCGAGGTGTGGTGCCACTCACGCTCCCTTCGCGGTTGTATTCTACACGCTACCGCCGTGTCCCATTGGAGGCAGAATCCAACCTTGGTTTGATCGTTCCTGTAAGACTGCTTTACGCAGTAAGCAGGAATGTTATCAGGCCTTGACTTATGATTCGGCGGCTCGGGAAATAAACACCGGCAAGTTTATCAAGAAGTATAAATTCGCCTCCACTTCCTTTAAAGGACTTATTCCCGAGGCAAAGTATGAGCATATTGGCAGAATTGGCGAGAAATTAATTCACTTTCCTTCGGGAACCCGTGTATTCTGGTCTTTCGCCAACGGAATTTCTGTAAGTCATCACTACTACCTCTGCTCAGGGAGGATGACTCATTGGCCCGTGTCGCAAAAAAGAAAGCCGATCGTTTAGACTATCTTTTTGCGTCTAACTCGACTTTCGATTATAGGGGAAACACACCGCCGACCTTCCCGCATGATGCAGATTCACACAGTGCTCAGTACGTAAAGCACTCCTATCCCTGGACATCCACAAGTCGAGTAGGCCTGACGGAATCCTCCAATAGTGCTAAGGACGTGTACTCCAGAGTTGGCACTCGTATTAGCCCGTCTTTTCCGATACTCGTACTCCCTAAGCGTAGTCTCGATATCATGGAAGACAGCTTTCGTGCACCATATAAAATGTAATCGCTCAGATTCGTCCAACTACAGGCCTATCGACATCACCGCCTTGTTCTCGAAAATAATAGTCCATTATTAACAGCCAGCTGATGCGGTACCTTGAGAGGCACCAGCTGATTAGTGACTGCCAGTACGGTTTCTGTCGAGGTCGCTCAGCTGGTGATCTTCTTGTTTATCTAACACACCGATAGGCGCAGGCGATTGAGTCCAAGGGGGAGGCTTTAGTGGCTAGCTCGGCTATAGCGAAGGCCTTCGATCGGGATTGGCATAAAGCACTTCTCTCGAAACTTTCTTCCTGTAGACTCGGAGCGTCAAGGTTGATAGACGATGCATGCTCCGGTTGCAAGTCTATTAACACTGGTGTTACACAATGCTGCGTGCTATCACCAACGCAGTTTCTTCTGCATATCAATGATATGTTGCAAACCGATAACATTCACTGCTATGCGGACTACAGCACTGATGATACTTTATACACCGACCGTGCCAATATTTCTCGGGAAAACTTCGCCGAGTATCTGAACAAACTTGTGTATGAAGCCGAGACATTGTTAAACAAAGTCCGATACTGTCTGAGGCAACAAGGCGAGTGTCGTCCCGTAGTCACCTCCAATCCGACTGGGTTTGGGCGCGACTACGGGATGACACTCGCCTTTAGTTGCTAAAACTCATTCGGGTTTGGGCAACTAAATATAGTCCACTTTAATCCCCGGAAAGGCACATGTTTGCGCGTTTACCGCTAAAAAGAACCCTTTTGTCGTATCTCCTCAATTTCAAAGCATTTCCCTAGCCAGTATCGAAATCCTCGGCGTCGACATATCGAAGGATGTGCAGTTTTGTGGTCGCCTGGAAAAGAAGGCCAAATTGGCCTCTAAAAACAGAGCGGTACAGTACTTCATGTCGGCAGACCACCAGACCACCTACAACTTTACACGGCGCAGGTTCGGTCACACATGGGATATTGTTCTCATCTCTGGGCTGGTACTCCCCAGTGCCAGCTTCTACCATTACATATAGGAGCAGAGCAGCTCGAATCATCGACGACCGAGTCCTCTCCAATCGGCACAATACACTGCCCCTGCGAAGAGATATTGCATCTCTTTGCATTTTCTATCGCATCTACCATGGATAGTGCTCTGAGAAATTATTCGGATTAATTCCAGCCGCAAAGTTTCACGAATGCACATCGCGTCAAAACTCATGATACCATCCACACCATCTGTATGCTTGGCAACCACCACTGTACGTTTTACTGAGAGTATTCTTCCTCATACGACTCCTCTGTAGAATTTTTTTATAGAAGAGGGGGCAAACGAGCATGCGGCTCACCTGATGTTAAGTGACTACCGCCGCCATGATCAACCGTAACACCAGGGGAATTGCAGGTGCGTTGCCGACCCTTTAGAAAGGAGTAAGTTCTTTTCTTGAAGGTCCCCAGGTCGTATGGGTCCGGAAAAATCGCCGGTGGTAAACTATTCCACAGAGAGGTTGTACGCGGAAGAAAACTCCTTTTGAAACGTACTGTTGTGGACCGCCAAGCATCCAGATGGTGTGAATGGTATCGAGACGTTTGCCGCGTAGTGCGTTCACGAAATTTGGCGGCTGGGATTAATCCGAACAATTCCTCAGAGCACTCTCCATGGTATATGCGAAATAAAATGCAAAGAGATGCAACATCTCTTCGCAGTGCCAGTGAATTGAGCCGATCGGAAAGCACTCGGTCGTCGACAATTCGAGCCGCTCGGCGCTGGATGCGGTCAAGTGGAAGGAGCTGGTTCTGGGGAGCCCCAGCCCAGAGATGGGAACAGTATTCCATGTGCGGCCGAACCTGCGCCTTGTAAAGTCGCGGGCGGTGTGCCGGCATGAAATACTGTCCCGCTGTGCTGAGCACGCCAAGCTTTTTAGAGGCCAATTTCGCTTTCTCTTCCAAGTGACCACGAAATTGCACGTCACTCGATATGTCAACGCCGAAGATTCCGATACTGGCTGAGGCAACAAGGGGAGTGCCTTGAAACTGAGGAGATACGACAAAGGGGTTCTTTTTAGCGGTTAACGCGCAAACTTGTGTCTTCTGGGGGTTAAACTGGACTAGATTTAGTCGCCCCCAATCCGAGACTCTGTTCAGCAAAGACTCGACTTTTAGAATTGTTTACCACCGCGATTTTTCCGGACCGATATTACTCAGGAACCTTCAAGAAAAGAGTAAACTCCTTTCTAAAAGGCCGGCAAAGCACCTGCAATTCCAGGGGGATTGTGTTGCAGTTGTTCATGGGCGGCGGTAGTCACTTTCCATCAGGTGAGCCGCATGCTCGATCCTCCCCTCTTTTTTAAAAATAAAACCACCAATAAATATTTACACGGAGAGTTGAAGAAGAAAAATTATTTTTGAGTTAATTTTTGTATAAACCAAAATTTAAAACCAGACATATCAGTTGTTATCTATTTTTAATAATAAATGACTGCATTGAATATTTACGAATACAATTTTAAATTAGAATTACAGCTGCAGGTCATGGCTAAACGAGTCACTAAAGCTCATAAGCTGTAATTACATAACCAAGTTTCAAAGTTTGCTAGTAGGCACAGAGACTGCTGTTCAAATGTAATCTTACTTTAACCTACCATGATTATACGTAATTGGTACAATTTTCATAAACCACTTGCATAAAAGCTATTACAAGTTTTTTATTAACTTTCTTTCTTCGTATGTCTTTCCGATTCAAAATTTCTAATCAATGTTAGCTTAGAAATGACGATATCCGCAGTAGAACCAGAGTGATCGACATATCCCAACGGATGAGTAAGCTGAAGCGGCGATGAGTCTGCCATATAGCTCGAAGAACCGACAACCGATGGAAAAATAGTAAAAATAGTGGCGTACTCGTAATGAACCGGAGACCCTTTTTACTGGAAAACAAGCATTCCATCTTAGTCCTGCATTTTAATTCGTAATCGATGATAGATGTAGATGTCTATGGGCCACAGCAACCACTTACCATCAGGTGGACTGTGTGCTCGTTTGTCACCCTGTCCTATTAAAAAAAGGTTCTCAAATGGTAGCTTCGTCTGGTAGGCGAAGCGTATGGCGACCTCCCACTAGATGGAGTGATGACCTGGTAAGACATGCAGGTGGCTCAGTGCTGTGCTTTGTGGAATCCCTTGGGGGAAGCCTGTGTTCAGCAGTGGACATTTGAAGGTGTCTTAGGGCCGTCGTGCCAGACTTTGTTGAAAGCTTTGGCGACATCAAAGAAGAGGGCACCGATGTTACGGATTCAAACGTTACTCCATGAGTTCGAGAAGCCCTCTAGGATGTATACCGTAAGGCGGTGGATCTGATTAGTGCACGAGTGTTCGGGTTTGAAACTGAACTGTTCATCAGAAAGAAGCTTTTTGGTAAGGACGTGTTTACGGAGGCAACTCAATATTAAACGTTAGTAAACTTTCCCCAGTGTGTTGAGGAAACTAATAGGTCTGAAGCTAGAGGCTAGATTGCACGGTTTTCCTGGTTTCAGGAATCCTATGACGTCCGCTTCTTTCCATATCCGGGAAGAAGCAGCTGGACAGAAGGCGTTGAAAATGCCTACTAGGAGGCAGACATATGGCGCTGACAAGGATTTCAGCACCCTGTTGCTAATGCCGTCAGGGCCGAGTACTGGTTTCTTTTGGAGGTTTTTGATAGTTTCTGTGACTTCGTCAACAGTCACAGGATCTAAGGGGGAAGGATGTAAAGGATTTAAAGCACTTGCCGACATCCGATTAAGCTGAAATTTGGCACACTTACGTAAATTCGATGGCAATACAATATTACCATGTTTCGGTTGCTGGATTGAGCACCGCCTAAAAAAGCTTGTTTTAGATAAATTTTAAAATTATTTATTTTCACATGAAACAAACTGTTACCTACCAGCTTTTCTGGGCCTAATTATACCTATATATATATACATGCTTATTGATGCAAAAGTTTTATTTTATCATCATCTCCATGACGACATATGAGTTAATTTCTGTAAGTTAAGACCTACTACTGGTCGATACCAATCACTAGGAAATCCAAGTAAAGTTACTGTACCAATCCTCATTTAAATATATATGTTTCTCATTTTATTTAACTGTGATTTAAGAGTTTTATATTTGAAAACAATAATAAACAACTTTGTATTACAACGTATTTTAATTAGCTTTATTAAATTCTTTCAGCAGCCTTATTAATCTACTGTGGACTCAAATCTTCTTCAGAATACTCCAAGCGACACAATTTTTTTATAGAATAAGGGTGGCAAACGAGCATACCTGATGGTAAGTGGATGCTGTGATCCATAGACATCTACATTTATCCTCGATTAAGAATCAAAATGACTTATATGGAATGCCTCGTTTCCGGTAAAAGACTGTACGGTTTGCTACACTGACGGTAAGGAACACAGCAGCATTGAGCTACTATTTCAAGCTGATGTTCTGTCAGAGCGTGTTCCTTCCCCGGTCGAGCCAACCCATTCGTGCTTTAACCATATCAGATCTGCAGCGTGTCTTTACCACCTATTTCTTATGATTCTAAAATACACCACGCCATCATCCTTGACCAGCAGTCTGTAGCGTTAATTTATTTATTTATTCTTTTTTTTTCAGGAAGGTTTACAGATTAATATCTTCTTAAAGTTACAAAATGGTGATAAGAATTGCTAATTACAAGCCTCTACATATTACAGTTACATTACTTTGTACAAATCGATCGATCATTAGCCGTGATGATGTCATTGTTACAAAATTATAGTCATCGGTTCCTAATTCGTCTTAAAAATTTTTGATTATTCAGACTTCTAGAAATAGGCGAAAACTAAATCACAAAATTCCATTACATTATTACACCAATACATAAAGTGTATAAAAATAACAAAAGCTCCACTCTTAGGGCCGATTTTTCAATCATCAGATTATAGTTATACATACTTATACATATACATATATATTTATTTCCTGATAACTACTCAAAATATTAGGAATCTGCGGTTACCAACACGTCTGTTAATATCCCCTTATAGGCCCTCTATGTGGGAGGCCATAATGATGAACTTAGCATTGGACTTTTATAGGCTCTAATGGATTGATGATGATCTAATGGAATGGACATGTTTACAAATCTAATAATTAAGAGCGAGGCAAGACATTAAATAATAGCAACATAAACAAATTAAAAATGACAGTTGTAAGAATAAAATAGTTCAATTGTTTGACTTTTTAATACATTCAGGTCATCAAATGATAATCTGACTGAATTTAAAAGTAATTTATCAAATAAATATTTCATCAATAACTTTTATCCGACGATTGAAAAATAGCCGTTGTTTAGAAACAATCTAGAGCTTAAAATCTAAACACCACAATGTCATATGAGTCTAGGCCATACTATTTACCTGAGCTATTTACACAAATTTTGACATTGCGAAGTTTGAGTTAGTAGGCAAAGTGTGCGGCCCCCCACTAGATGGAGTAACGACCTGGTAAGAAATGTAGGAAGTCGATGGATGCAGGTGGCTTGGGACGTGCTCTATGGCAATCCTTGGGAGAGGCCTACGTTCAGCAGTAGAGTTGACTTGAAGGGTTGTAATAATGATGAAGTTTTAGTTTAAACTTGAAATCATCTCTACATACTTACTGGTTTTAAATACAACAAAATACCTCTGTAATATGATATTTAAATAAAAAATGGTTTGTTTAAATACGTCTATATTCATTTAACGATCATAAATAAACAAATAAATTACATCGATTAGTTTAGGAAAAAGCTTCATGAATAAACGCAAACTTTGTCTTGGTATCGTTTGATACGCTTTTGCATCTGTCTCTCAACAATTTGACTAACTTCTTTGGTCCACAGCAATACAAACTTAGATTTTGTCTGAAAACAAAATAAAAACATTTTACTTCGAAGTTTGTATAGAAGCTGATGTAGTAACTAAAAAGTTGTTGTTTATATTTACGGACCACAACATCTACTTACCATCAGGACTGTGTACTAGTTTGTCACCCTAAGTTCAAAAAAACTCTGAAACTGCTCCGCGCCCGTCATTAGGCTAGGTGTCTTAGCTCATATAATTTCTTAACAATTTCCTTAGTCGACTTTGAAATATTCTTGCAACAGCATGCATTTCGCTACACTTCTACTCTTAAAAGGTCACATGAGCCTCTTCTACTACTGAGAGCTTGCCTGAATCGTTATACTTCGCAGACGCATTGGCAATCTTAGTTCAATACTCATACCTTCGATGCTGCTTCCAATCGCCAACCTGCATATTTTACGGCTACTTACGACAATTACGGGGCTAAACAGGATGTTGGCTTCTCTTACGACGCTATTAATTATATAAATATCCCATACAAACAATAACTAACCGTGTAGTGGCGGTGTTAGAATATCCAGTACCCCATATCACCACGGGGGTCGTAAGAGGCGAAACAAATCAGGAGATGGGTAGACAAACAAAACTGCGATTGCCAACCCGCTTGCCAAGCGTGGCAACTATGCCAAATATCCCACTATGAGACAATCTATGGGGCAAACCTATGTTCAGCAGTAGACTTTAATAGGCTGTAACAATAGAGGTAAACGACGACTCTGTTAGTTAGGGATTTATGTCTATGGTATAAATAATAAGCAAAAAATGAAACTGAACTGCGTTGTTGAGGGCCGCGGGTTGGAATCCCGCACAGAAAAGGTTTTCGTAATTTTTACGTACTAGAGCCACGCTGCAGCTATATTAATTGTAACACGAATGGGTCGGCTCAACCGGGGTAGGACCACGCTCTCACAGAATATCAGCTTAAAATAGCAGCAGGCTGTTGTGTTTTGTATGTTTGTATGTAGAAAACCGGAGACCCCTTTTACTGGAAACAAGGCATTCCATCTTAGTTCTGAGGGGTGACTACGCATTTGCATTTTGATTCTTAGCACAGGGTTACAGCTTCCACTTACCGTCAGGTGGACTGTGTGCTCGTCTGTCACCTTATTCTATAAAAAAAATCTTTTTATTCTATAGATGACTTTTTTAATCATAATATCAATTTATATACTCACTCTGGATACAGATGCACCCAATAACCGAACACGCGGTCCCAATGCGGCCTGCCTCTTCTCACTCTACACCCCAGTAGAGGATATTCCTTTGCTATATCGTAATTTTCCCCATTGTTATCCAAATCTCTTTTAACTTCACCGTAGTCATTAACTTTTCTGATCGGGGTCAAAAGCGTTGCTTTCTCATCATGTAGAGTTCTATAACTTTTTTTCAAAACATGAGATAGGGCTCCTTTCTCGTTAATTACTATAACATGTGCTAAATCATTTTTATCTTTATCTATAGGATTTTTGGATTTATTATCGTTTTTGCTAGTTACGTAAAATTCGATATGAAGTCGGTCCGGTCGATTTGCATATCTCAACTCAGATAATACTTTATTTGTTAATTCCGCTAACCACGTTATTTCCTGTTCCTGTCTCACAATCCACATTAAGTGAACTCGTCTGGGTAAGAAGCCCCTTGGATTTCTATAAAATAATAATTCACTTTTTCATTTGAACTTAGTCATTAAGGTAAAAAAAGGTTTATTATTTTTTGCGTTTCAGTTTTTTCGGCGGTTTAATTTTTTTGTTAAAAAGTTTTTATAATACTTACATAAGCATGTCATATAAAATGGTCACAAATGGTGTGATCCCTACACCAGCTGCCACACACAAAGCGATATCACTTCTACTAACTCCTTCCATGGGACTCGAGAACGGACCATCGATAAGCACCCTGAAAATGTAGAAAGTTTATAAAAATCTGATGTAAAAATATGTTAATTGCTAATTAAGTTATAAACGATAAAATGCAAAATTAATAATTTTGATAAACCCACGACGGAAATAAAGACTGTTATCGAAAAAGGATTAAATAAGATTTTTGATTTTGCTTTTTATTTTAAAACTTTTAAAGAATTCTTACGTTACTGTCTATAAAACTGGCTATAAAACCAAGAGCCACCGAATGAAATTATTAGATAATAAATAACAAGAGGAGCAGAATCTGGTAAAACATTTACTCTAAGAGCAATTGTTGATCAAGTTAAAAGATGTTACAAGCCAACGGTATCTGCTTTACTTCAGGCATGTCTTATTGAAGCCACTACCCTTACTGGAGTAGCAAGTTGCCTTATGAATGGAGGAACACTTCACAGCACATTATAACCGGGTATTGAAAAAGGTCATCGACAGTTAACGGGTCACCGCTTAGAAGTTATGAGACGCAAATGGAAAACCATTCACTGGATAATTGTCGACGAGATTTCCATGGTTTCACATGGAATGTTTGTATTAAATTGAGGCTTCGGGAGTTAAAAAATAATAACTCTCTTTTTCGTGGTGTAAAAGCCCTCGTTTTTGGTGATTTGAAACAGTAACCACCCGTAAAAGAGAGTTGTGGTTTTAAGTTCCCTGTAAATTTTCAAGGAGTGCTACATCTACTTTGGATTTTGCAAATCTAAACGCAACACGCGTCAGCAAAACAATGCGGACTTTGTTGATTATCTCAACGATTTACGAGTGAAAGAACTGAGCATGGTACAGTATCAGCTACTTCTGGAGAGGACTCGTATTTCGTTAGAGGGAAATTTTGCCAACGGGGAAGTTGTCTAGATACATCCCATCTCACAACTGTCAATGCATATGCATATATCAGACTATATTAATCAAACTTTCAACTAAATTGTACGCGATAAATATACGATATGAGTTCAAGGAACCCAACAATTATAGACGGAAATCGCAAGTGGAGATTTCCATTGCCGTCCCAGTGGAACCAAACACAGGATTCCTAGTATCTCACATAAAGTTGGGTGATGTTAAGGATGGGTTTGGGATGGCATTTCCTAACAAGGGTTAGTAAATGGCAGCACGGGAGTAGTTCAAGGTCTCCAGTGGGAAGAGTTAAGAAGAGACAAGTTAGAAAATGGAAAGTAGACGAAAAAGGTTTTTATTAAATTTAATAACCGCTTTATCAACAACAGATACTATAATGAAATTGATTGGGTAGGCATCGCTCCAACGAGTATATAATTTCAATGCGACAAAAGTGCTGAGAAAATAGAAAGAGTAATGATTCCACTCTAATCGAGTTGGAACAGTGTATAAATTGCAAGACACTAAAGTCAATAAGGTGGACATCTATCTTGGACCTACAACCACAGATTAAATAATATCTATACCATTATACAAAGGGCAAGCTTATATGGTTCTTAGTAGAGTAAGATCTTTAGACGGCGTAGTAATAACTGATTTAAATCTAATAAAACTTCAACAATCCACATAATAGTGTATAGCCATGGAATATTTAGAGCAATTTAAAATCACGTTGTGCGGGACACAAATCGTTGAAGCCGAAAAAGCCACAAATCTGTCTTTAATCTAACCATGTTATTATGGCACTAACATAGCGTTTTCAGCCAGCTTTCAGATAAAAGAGAATCATCAAAATCGGTTCACCCAGAGAAAAGTTCTGAGATAACACACATAAAAAAACATACAGACGAATTGAATACCTCCTCCTTTTTGAAGTCGTTTCGAAGTTCGTATTCAAAAAACAATAATTGTAATAATCAAAGAAGCAATATACAAAAGATTTCAATGAATAATCAAATGAGTGAAAAGCAATAAAAATTAATTAAATAAATAAAATCATTTAATTCAATGATATTATAAGTAAAAAGGTGTAGATAGGTTACCTACACAATATTCGATCTTCAAAAACGGCACATAACGCACACATAAATAACTAAATATTCAATAGCTACACTACATTATGATTAGACGTCAAAGTAGGATGGCATGATTAAACTTTTGCAAGCGTAAAAGAGACAAATGTAATTTGCAACATTGCGTGGTCTTGTGTAGTAGGAACGATGTAGAATAATTAATCAGATATGACATGATACCGTGCACCGTGATTTATGCCTAAAACACGATTCACCCGTGAGTGCGCGTAGTAAACGTATTGTACTGTACTGTAATAAAGTAGTAAAAATAGATTAAAAGTAGGAAAATAAGAAAATATTATTGATTTTATTAAAAAATTTATTGTCAAATAAAGTGGTGTAACAACTATATCGTATACGTAAGTATACACCACTTCGTTCCGCTACAAAACAAATAAATTGAACTTATAATTAATAATGACCTAGTTAATTTACCCTTCTCTAAAACAAGAATTATATGTACACAATATGAATTGATGATACTCAGAAGAGACCTATCTGTTTTTTATATTCTTTGACCAGAAACAATATCACTTCTCTTTCAAACTCACTCATTTGGGTATTTTTATCCCTCTCTATTTTTTCTGACAATATATTTTAAAATACGTAATTTTTGAATTTGTAAACAATACTAAAATAAATTAAGGAAATATTAAACGAATGAAATATGATTCCTTTTGACTTTTGGAAACCTTTCTTATGTAGTTTGTGCAGAATCTCATCATATATGACGGCATTTTCGGTGCAAAAACAAAACACGAATTACTATCAACGCCGGTGTCAACCACCCGACGATAGCACGACGACTGAGCTCAGGTTTGCTAATTAGCACAGTTTTTACGTGCCACTTGCGGTGCGCGTATAACCTATCTACCTCTTTTTCTTATAATATCATTAATTTAATTAGTGTGACTTTAACCTGACGTTAGTTGCACCTCTCTCCAAAATCAGTCTCTCGAAAGCTTCGGTCCAATCCCCTTTAACTCTTATCCAAACCTCCAACTGTCTATAGTTAGGTGTTGGAAGCTGAAACAAGTAACTAAATTTAATAAAAGACAAAAGAATTTATTAATATATTACAATAAATAACTTATTTCTGAATACATTAGAAATTACTTTTACTTTAATTTTGATAAATTTGCGTCTCGTCCTTCAAAAAGTATGCGTTCATTATTCAGTAGAAAAAAAAATATAACGTGTACGTGAGGGTAATATAGTCATCCGGTTAATACGCTCACTTTCTTATAACTCAAAAACTACAGCCTTGTTTGCATAAATGACTCTGTGATTCGATAGCTCTTCATCAGTCAATCAAATATTAAAGGGCTAAAAGAGCGCTGCTTCATGGACGCCATTTTGACAGTTGACATTATAGTGAATATTTTAGTCGATTTTAGTCATAGACTTATTATGATAGAGCGTAATTTTAGTATTGTGTAGTGTAGTAAGTCTTTTTATGTTGATTATTCAAATTGTTCCTAATTATTGCCAAAACTTGTTTGTTATTTTTCTTTTAATATATTAGTTTGTGTTTTTGTCTCAGTCCTCCTCCTAGTTTTGGTTTTACAGGGCGGCAAAGATTAAGGTATACGGCATAGATACTGTCACGTACCTTAGTATTATTTGATAATAATAAGATCAAAGTAATGAACATATCCTACTACTATCTAAGCCCGTGGTAGCTCAGGTGACAAGCGCTCGCCGTAACAAAATTCACCGTTCGATCCTCGGTCACTACCGGTGCCATCGCAATTTTATGTGCTGATTTACCACCTACTCGGCATTATAGAAAAACGTGGGAAAACTTGCACGTGTGAGAAAAAATACTTTGAAGATATTTGAAATCTGCCAACGAGCATTTAGAGCAGTGTAGCGGACAGTTCCTTGTCCACAACTTGTAAAAATTACATGTGCCCAGCAGCAGGACGCTAGGCTAGGTAGTAACTTTACTTTTTCTTTATTAACTATCTCACTATTTTCTATTATTATTATTTTACTAAATAATTTATTTTTTTCACCTGTAATAGGTGACGCTTTCGAATATTTTTTAATTTAATTACTCTAAAGAATGTCATGGCTGTTCACTTTTTTGTTGCAACGAGTTAATAAATAAACAGTGATGTTCCCTTGCTTGGAAACTATTGGGAAAATCGAGTTTATTGAAATCTCTTGAATCTAATTTAATGAACACAATTTTTTTTTCGATTCTTTACTATTATTATAAGCCAGTGCATGACTGCTATCACACCTGAGTGTAGGTAAGTGGTGATGCGGCTGAACATGCTAAAGCGAAATATAACATGTTTTTTTGTTTTAATTAATTTACATTTTCAAGTAAATAAAACAAGTCATTGTAAACGATTCACATTGGCTGTTTGCTGTAATAACTCATTTTTACTTCATAAAATTTCTATCAATTAGGATATTAGCTTTGAGTTACTTTTGTAATTCTAAAAAAAGTTACTTTTTTTCACAATATCTACATTATTACAGTCGACTACAAACCCACTGATGATCATAGACCTCTCCCAATGGCTACTATGAAACAAAATCCTGAGTCTCATACAGCCAGAAGTGAAGGACCACGTCTTAGATCCATATGCATTGATATACAAAAAATGTATATCAATGTCCATATGTCATAGCTGGCAAAACGATACGAACGGATTGTTTTAATGTAACAGTAGGTACCTACCTATTTGAAAACGACCAAAACGGCATAATATTTCAGTATAATATAATTGAATATTTTCTCTATTTTAATTACATTATTATAAACATTTCTATAATGTCTCACCTTGACGACGGTAAAAGGATGCCATTCAAGTAACGACACATCCAAACACTGCAGCAGTATGTACTGGCCCTTTCGACAGTTGAACCATTCGTGGGGACAGCTCACTGTCACACTCAGCGTTCGTCCGGGCATAATATGAGTCACCTGGTTCAGTTCATCAAAACAGAAACAGACATTATTATTGTAAAGTTTTATAAAGAGTATTTTCTTCACAGTATGTAACATTATTATTAGTAGTTCAATTCAGAAGTCGAATACGATTTGTAAATAAAAGTTATAGGTATGTAACTATGTTTTTTTTTCACAGTATGTAACATTATTATTAGTAGTTGGTTCAATTCAAAAGTCTAATACGATTTGTAAATAAAAGTTATAGGTATATAACTGTGTTTTTTTTAATTTATCTATTAATTAGTTTATTTATAAAATTCTAAAGAATTTAAGGTATTTGTAATATAACACTTACTTCTACTAAATAAAAGCTATTTTTATTAAACGATATTTTCTGCGTGTAATATGTTGCATAGTCCCAAAAATAATACCACCTATACACAGAGCTATCTTTCAAAGAGTAGCCAAATTTGAAACTTAATTTCAAATATATAAATAATGATGTTACAGAATGGGTCCCACATATATGCAATAAATGAAACCATATACTTGTTATCGCCTTTGCTGACGATATACAAAAAATGAACGTAATCGGTCCAGTAATTAGGTCAAAAATAGAGTTTTAATTTTAAGCAAATTTGAACACTCTATAGAATTGGGTCACTAAGTTAATGATTCAGTGAACTTGAATCCTTGAACATTAAAAAGCGACGTTGCCACGCAGTGCAAACTATTGGTATTGCGACATATCGACAGCGGTGTCTTTTGTCGGCGTGCCACCCGCGTGCAACGTTGTCACTCTTCCAAGGGGTCAAGGTACGTTGTCTAAACAGAGTGTTCACTTTTACTGAATTTATTTTGTTTGAAAATTTCACTTTTTTATTTTACGGGTTTTAATTTAATATTTAATTTTTCTACACTTCTACGGACTAGTATTACTTGTGGTTTCATTTATTGCATATATGTGGGACCCATTCTGTATATATATATGTATATATATATATATATATATGTATAACTACGAGTAACTAAGGCTTGTACTTTTATTTGAAATTAGCCCAAATTGAAGGTGATTTATAGGCAACAACGTTTTTGCCTACCGATCGACCCTTACGTATGTGTACGTGCGCAGTGAAATTAGTTAAAATAATGCAGAACTTAAAACATAAAAAGGACAGAAAGTTTGAGTAATTTTCCTTCACTGCTTACCTATATTACTTATTCGGAACCTTCTCTGCAAATTTGGCGGGTTATTGTAAAATAACCCCGTATATATGTATATAATTAACTTGCAATTAAACTTCCCACAACCTAATCTTAAATTATTGTATTTAAAATGTCTTATGAATAAATGTCGCTGGAAGGATGTGGCTCAAAACTGAGTTTTGTTGCATTCCTTAGGCTTGGGCTCATGTACGGCAGTAGACTTGTGATCAGATGTATTGTGATGATGACTATGACAATGATGAAGTAATGTATGAAGTTGGTATTAATTTTTGGACAGATTTAAATTATATAAGTTGGTTTTCATAAACCTATATTTTTTATATTGATATACAAACGTTTACCAAAAATATATCTCATTAATGATTACGAAACTTAAAACAGACTTTTGGACAAAAATATTTCTGATATAAAATTTTTTGAAAATGTATATAGGTAAGTATAGTTCTAACAAATAGAGCGTATGACGCGAAACGAATAATAAATTCTCACAAAAATGTTAATTGCCTTTCGATGCCAACTGTATGAATGATACTAAGAGGCTTACGCAAAGTTTAATCGGTTACTGGACTAAATAGCTGACGACGCAGCTGTTTACTTTTGATTAAAATTTTCTGCTTCATTTAAAAGAAGTATTCGTGAATGAAGCATTATATAAAAGAATATTTAAAATACGGCTCTATTCACTGCTATGAATATACTAGCTTATAAATTATAAAAGATTTAGTTAGGGTTAAGTCACACTGAGAGGAGTGGTAGCTTAGGGGTAATACGAGTATATACTGTGGCCGTGGAAGGAAAAGGGGAAATCTCCCGCCGGGCAAGGTGTTCTGCCCGGGGAGCGGCCAACACTCCGTGTGATAGTTCGGAGATGTTCTATATATACTGTCTATGATTCGGAATGTTAATAGCGCGATTTAGGCTTCGGTGTGTTTCGGTGTGCTAGTGGCGCGACGACAGCGCCGCTACATCACCCCCTGCTCAGACCGGAGGTCGATAGTGCAGTCTCGTTGCCGACAAATGTGCAAGTGCCAGGAGATTGCCTTGTAGTCTGCGGTGAGTCTAGAAGGAGGCAAGTAATCTGCGAGAGTGCCGTGAAGCAGAGGCGAGCAGTAAGGCTCAGAGCCGTGCCGAACACTGTACATCGCAGAGAGTAGCTTGAAGGAACAGGAAGCATTATTATTGCAGTGCTGCGATGAACCTTGTGAAGCTAGATGGCTTGCAGGATATGAAGACTGCGGATGATATCTGCTCGGGAGCGAATGGGTGGGGTACTCTATGACGATGATGAAGCTTGAAGTTTCCTAAGGTTGTTGGTTGCGTGTTTATATCACGTCGGGGTCACCACGTGGAAGGAAAAGGGGAGATCTCCCGCCGGGCAAGGTGTTCTGCCCGGGGAGCGGCCAACACTCCGTGTGATAGTTCGGAGATGTTCTATATATACTGTCTATGATTCGGAATGTTAATAGCGCGATTTAGGCTTCGGTGTGTTTCGGTGTGCTAGTGGCGCGACGACAGCGCCGCTACAATACCTTTCCCTTTCCGAAAATGGGAGGTAGCCTCTAGCCTCTGCTTAGCCGTGGGTTGTAAAAGCGACTCAAAGCGACATATATATAATTTAAACTAATGCACAAACATTTATATGAAGTAAAGTGCTCATATCATCAACATCATTACACACATTGCCGCGCTTAGCAAGCAGCTTTTTTTATTATTTTGAACTGTTGTCACGAAAATGACCCATCTCTTTTTTTTCACTCTACAGCCGCTTACGACTCCCACGGGATAATATGGGCTGGTTCTCTACAAGGCCAGCTCATATAATACATATTATTAGATTTGGGCCGATTGGCCGATTAGCCGATTAAACGGTTAAGAAATTGCCGACTAATCGGCCCAGCCGATCCCTGTTTGCCAGCGTTCAGGAAATGTCGGTCTCTCGGAAATGTCTGTTGCATTACGATTAGAAAAAGTTAAAAAGTAGAATTAAAATATTAAGTAATTAGGTTTTTGTTTAGTTTTAAATTTAAATATTTTTTTTTACCAAAGTTCCTATGTCCAGAATAATTAACATTAAAACATGTGAGACTGATTTTTCAATAAAATTTATGTATGAACCTACTTATTTTAATATTTATTTGATTTACCTACATATAAATCTGACGCGATTTTACGCATGGGAGAAAAACTATTATTTTCTTAAATTTAAAGCTTTACTCATATCAAAGTAGCCGCAGTTATCAAGCAGAAAATCACGAACAACCTTTGCTGAAATTAATAAAATAAAAATTCGATTAATCGGCGGTTTTAGCCGATTAATCGCCGACTAATCGGTGACTACAAATAGGCCGATTAATCGGCGGCTAATCGGCCCAACTCTATTATATTTTAAACAAGTGAAAAGTAGTAAAAGCAAACATTTAAAACAACGAAATTTTTTTATACTGTAGTTCTTTTATGATACTAACATTTTAAACGAACGAACGATACGTAAGGATTAATGCAACCAATGATGAATGCGTTTTGGATTACCTACGTATTGGTGGACGTCACATGCCCTTTAAATAGTTAAATAAATCAGACAAATATTCTTACGGTGGTTTCCTTTGTCATGAAGCATGTTATAAATCACCACACCACTTGTTTGGAATATACTTCTGTCCTGGGAAGAATCAGCAGGAAACCCCGTTGGACTTTGTTTGTACAATTTTTTAATAAATTTTTATGGAATCAGGATGGTGACGATCACCACGACGAACATTCCCAGGGGTTATTTTCATTTATGTATTCTTTGATATTATAATAATTAATAACCCTTTTTGTAGAATATTTCTTTAATAAAACATTTAGACTTGTTTATTGATAAATTTTGTACTTTTTATGGAATTTTATTGTAAAAGAATTGTCCCATAAATCAATTACTAATTCTGTGGAGTTTAGTAAATGGTATTACAAGCTTGTGTTTGTTCCTAGTGTTTAAAAAAGTATTAACATCTTTATTCTTCCAAAGCTATTTATGTTTTTATGTACATACATTTTATAAATATATTGTGATGCTAAAGTTAATATGTTTATTTGTTCAAAATTTTTCTATCAGGGACTGTTTACAATTTAAGTTACTAATCACCCGTACGGCTCTCTTTTTCAAAACAAATATAGCTTCAATGTCAGTCGCATTAACCCATAGCAAAACTCCATAAGACAATTACGTTATAAAATTAACTAAAATAAACTAATCTAGTTGTCTCAACATTGGTGAGACCTATATTCCTATATTATCTATATTAGTATTTGTTTATAAATAAAATTGACAATTAATAAAAATAAGAAAAATTAAAATCATCGTACATAGGGGGTCGAACTCGGATTGCTCGCATACTACGCAGTTACTATGGCTCTCAATATGAATGATGAATACAGTTTATTAATTTTTCAGATAAGCTTACGCAAAGGGCAGTTTTAAAGTTTGCTAACACACAAACACACAGTATTTATATGAGTGAGTGCAATACATGATATTTACAACCAAGTTTAAAGATGAATATGGCTCACAGTTTCATACTGGGACGTAATAATGATTGCCTTCTACAGTTCGAGCTTTTCAATGAAATATTGAGAACCGACTGATAGTTAGACAATACAACTAAATATATTGAAACGGTAAATGGCATAATAACATTTTTTTTTTGGAAATATTTATGAATTAAAGTCATAAATCAAGGATACGACGCTTGTTAAATATTACATTTCAACAAGTTATATATACATTACAACAAGTTCGATCAGTCGTGCCGATAACATGAAAACCGGTTTTTACACAATTAATAACGACAAAAGGAGCACACAGTCTAAAATACATTAAATTATTTACGTGGTAGAGCCAAGCTGCAGCTATATTATAGATTTACCACGAATGGGTCGGCTCGACCGGGGCAGGACCACGCTCTCACAGAATACCAGCATAAAATAGCAGCTCAACGCTGCTGTGTTTCGCACGGTGAGTGTAGAGAACCGGAAGCCCTTTTTCAAGGAATCGAGGCATTCTATCTAAATCCCCCGGGGTGACAACGCATTTGCATTTTGATTCTTAATTGAGGATTAATGTGGATGTCTACGGGCTACAGCATCTTCTTACCATCAGGTGGACTGTGTGCTCGTTTGTCACCCTTATTTTATGAAAAAAAAAAACATATTTTTTTATTTTATAGATGACGTTTTTAATGATAAAATTATCACCTAATTAAGTAATTAAATATGTGTATAATGAAATGGAATCCCACGTTACCAGTAAAAACTTTTTCGACACTTACCATATGAAGCACGACAGTAGCACCAACGTGCATGGTCCTTCCCCGATCGAAACAACGCATTAGTGCTACAGTGATAACTAGTATACATATAGCGTAATACTCATGTGGTAAAATTGTTAAGGTGACATAATAAATCTGAGAAACAAAATAATGCGAGAAGGTCGTGTGCCTCACGCTTACGCCAAAAAACATTATAGAATTATTGAACAGCCTTTGAAACAATTGGAACAATTTTTTAATAAACTATTATAATATTAATATTATATATTAATTAGATAATTATTTAAAATATAAAAGTGCGTGGACACAATGCGGTTACTTACACTTTTTTTAACTTCTCGCTAAGAAAATTGAAAATTTTCAAAAACAGGGACTTTATTGGTTTCACCCCGATTTTCGAAAATCGAGTTTTCATCAGATCTCGGCGTTTTGAGATCCCAGGAAGCTATTCTGACTAATTTCACGTGGATGTCCATACGGATGCAAGTATGTACGTGTGTGTGTGTGTGTGTGTAAGTATGTAAACCTTTCATATCAATGATACGTTCAACGTCTTGATCGATTGATATGCGGTGTTCTAAAGATCTCAATGTGGAATAGATTTGGTGATAATATGAACTGATTAGAACGAGTAGATTTTGAGTAATCTCAAAAATAAAAATTTGAAAAACTGTTTTTTTTTTTTTGGAATAATTTTTAAACGGCTTTATCAATCGATTTCGAAAACTAATGAGCTCTTAGCCTCAAAAAATGACGTCAAATGCCATTTGGTAAATAAAAATCGGTTCATTCGTTAGTGAGATATCGAAGGAGAATGAATTCGAAACGATTTTTTTTAACATAACTTCGAGATTTCGCAACATAATTTGGTGAAATTTGGAGCGCTCTGCATTTGAAATTAACTGGGAAGTTCCAGGGATGACCCGCAGGGTCAACCAATTTTTTTACTTAGGGCAGCAATATCTTCCCGATAACAACTCAAAATAATAAAAATCTGCTGTTGCCAACACGTTAGCCAAGCGTGGCAATTATGGCAAAATCCCCCCCATGAGGGAGGGAAGGGAGGCCTGTGTTCAGCAGTGGACTTTTTTAGACTGTAATGGATTGATAAATGGAAATTTTAACTGTTGGGAAAAAATAATCTAACTTTGAGCTTCATGCCGCTTCTTCCAACGAGCGACAAGGTCTGCCACAGGAGAGAATTGTGGAAGCAGTTCAACAAGTCCTAAAACTTGTTGAATTGGAGCAAATCGCTAGCTACCTTGACTTTTAAAAAGTGTTTTGTAAAGGCCAATTTCGAATAAAAATATTTTGACTTTGATTATATCAAACATTCATATCATATAACGTACATATAGTAGTTGCGGCGTAAGTATATCCACTTCACCATATCATCCCGTGGGTGATGTAAGAGGCGACAGATGGAAACAAACAAACAACAAAAACAAATAACTTCCTAATAACGACTAAAACTAAAAAACTGCGGTTGCCAATTCGATTGCCAAGCGCGGCAACTATGGATGTACCCCCTCCCTCCCCTCCCCCCACAAGGCTATCTATGGAGGACGCCTATATTCAGCAGTGGACTTTAATAGGCCATAACGGTATATTCATATCCAATGCTTACTTACTATGACAAGTTACTTACATTTAACAGTTGAACTCTCGCCCGATTTCTCGAAAATATCCTCCACAGAAGATCTACAAGAAAGCAGCTAAGCGGCAAGGCCATCCAAAGCCATGTCTGAAACAACACAGTTACGCCGTATTTAAACTGAATTTATAAAAACATCAATAAATTATTTCTATGTCATTTAACAGCATTAGCTCAATAATTTATTGCCATGGTGCGTGCATCATTTACGTAATAATATGTTTGTCATTGACCATCATATGTGACTCAGCCTATTTGAAGACATTATAATGAAATTGGAATCACCCGCCGATGTCGTTAGAGTCGAATCAATGTAGAATGTGCCCGACTATTGGCCGACAAATCGTCACTGTTACCAATCACACCGCAATAGACACTGTTTTTAATAAAATAAATAGTCCTGAAAGGACGTTAAAAATTATTCAAGTATTACTATATCCTAGAATTCAAAGTACTTAGTATACTTTACAAAATTCTGTTCCATAATGCATCATTTCGTTAAAATCGGAAATCAAAACCGTTACTTGCAAAAGGTGTAGCTTATTAGTCTATTATAACTACACGCAGACTAAATAATTCATCAATTAGCACACATTAGGAACTTACCACAATATATTTTAAATGATACGAATTTTTACTGCAGTGTAAGAACATCTATATTATTATTATTGTGGTATCTATATAATTTTCGCACCTGGTTGGGTTCTATAAATATATAATTATAAATTAAAATGAAAAGATAAATATACATAAATATCAATAAAATAAAATAAATACAAAAAATACATAAATAAATATAGATCCAACCAGATGGAAGCCCTCGGTAGAGGAGATCGAACGGCCGAGGGTTAGGAGGAAAGGGAAAGAAACCGGCGGACGATGCGGGCGGTATCGAAGAGCACCGCCTTCTGCATTTGAGCCCGGAGCGGTCCGTCACGGAGTCCCAGTCGCCTCAGATGACCCGAGAGGCTGACTGGGATTAGCCCATTCGCATAACGACTACAGGAATAATTTCGGTCGGCCGACCACCCCACATGTCGGTCACCTCGTAAGCCAGGTCCAGATATTTTGTTCGCTTATCTGTTTCGGCTTTCACGAGGTTCTCGTCATACGGAATGGTAATGTCGACCAAAAATATCCTTGACTGTGCCCGGTCCATCAGCACAATATCAGGCTTATTCGCAAGAATAGTCCTGTCTGTGATGATGGCCCGGTCCCAGTAGAGCCTGGCGCGGTCATTTTCGAGCACGGCTTCCGGCAAGTACTTGTAATACGGCACTTTCCGGTCCACGAGACCGTATTTCAGAGCGAGCTCCTGGTGTAGAATTCTGGCTACTAGGTTGTGCCTGTGCCAGTACTCAGAGTTAGAAAACGCCGAACAACCGGAGATGACATGCCTAAGTGACTCCCCGGGATGGCGACAAGCTTGACAGACGTCGACGGTGCCATCCTTTAGGCTGTATCTCCGATAGTTGTTGGTATTAATAACCTGATCCTGTATTGCACAGACAAAACCCTCGGTTTCCCCGAAGAGGTCACCGAAACGTAGCCAGTTGAGGGAGGCGACTGTATCTACGAAGGGCTCATGTAGAGCCTTGTAGTACCTCCCGTGGAGCTCCTTCTCCTTCCATACGGTCTCCCGGTCGGAAATGCTAAGCACTGCTGGGTCCTGCCATTGCTCGTTGGCTAAGGATAGAGGGGTAAGCCCTTTATCACTAGAAATGACGTCATTATAGAATGGATCATCCGATCTCGCCAAGAAGTATTGACGGAGACTGCACACTTCGCGATTATGCATGGTGAGCGCGCTCAGAAAGCTACGCCCACCATGCTTTCGTGGCAAGTACAGCCTCATTACCGACGATCTCGGATGATGCATCCTATAGGACGTCATGGTAGTGCGGACTTTTCTATCCAGGGTGTTAGGCTCAGTCTGACTCCACCGGAGTATGCCAAAGGTATACATGAGGATAGGCATGACCCAGCCGTTATATGCGTGTGCCTTATTCACACCGGACAAAAGGCTGTTAAGCACTTTGGTCAAGCGTGCATAAAACGTGTCGCAAACTGACTGTTTCATACCAGCCTCATCGATACCGATGTTCTGTGACATACCCAGGTATCGGTATGTTTCAGCCTCGGAAAGGGTCCTTAAGTTGACGGGCATAGATAAGTCTGTGCCCTCAGAGTTAGCAACCCTACCCCTCTCAACATGGAGGACCGCACACTTATCCGTCCCCAGCTCCATTCCAATAGAATTGCTAAATTCACAAGTGATGTTTAGCAATTCCATAAGATGGGAGCGACTGGAGGCGAATAATTTGAGGTCATCCATATAGAAGAGGTGGGTCACTTTTGTACCTCCTTTCCGAAGCTGAAATCCCCTCCCGGAACCCTCCAGTAAAGTACTGAGAGGGTTCAAAGAGAGGCAGAACCAGATTGGACTCAGACAGTCGCCCTGGAATATACCCCTTCTTATCCTTATGCGGCTTTCCGCAGCCGTCATCCGCTCGCCTAGATGACAGAGGATCGTACTCCACTGCCCCATACACCGCTCGAGGAAGTCTCGAACTGTACAGTCAATCTTGTACAGCTCGAGGATCCTCTTTAGCCATATATGGGGCACCGAGTTAAATGCCTTTCTGTAGTCTATCCAGGCGGCGGAGAAGTTCCGACGGTTGCGTTTCACCACTTTGCCAATGACCGCGTCAATGAGGAGTGGTTCCTTGGTTCCACGACCGCCGCCCCGACATCCATTTTGAGCGCGCGACATCACCTGATTTGATTCCAGGTGAAGAGTGATTCTCGCGCTCAAAATGGATGTTAGTATCTTGTATATGGTCGGCAGACACGTGATAGGGCGGTATTTGCTCGGGTCTGTGGTAACCGGGTCTTTAGGAACCAAATGAGTGATCCCAGTAGTGAAGAGGCTCGGGAGCGACTTCCTGTTGAGAGCCTCTTGGAACTGTCGGGCGAGCACAGGGTGACACACCACAAACCCCTTCAGCCAGTAGTGATGCAGCCCGTCGAGTCCCGGACTTTTCCAGTTCGGGGCCCCACGGACCGCCTCAGCTACGTCATCCGGCGTTATAATGACGGGGTCCATGGGCGTTATACTCGCACACTGACTCGCCACAACTTCCGTCCAAGGGCCCTCGCTGTGGTTTATGGGCTCTGACCACAGGCCGCGCCAGAATGCTACAGTGTCGGCCTGATTCGGTGCTGGGCCCGTTCCACTTACCATTGGTCGCTCCAACAATTTATAGAGCCTCTTCTGATCACTCTGAAAGAGACGATTCTGGTTAAACCGACTCTGCTTCAGGTCGTCTATGCGCTCCGTCAGTTTTTGCATTATATCCAGTTGGGACAAACTAACATTTGTCCCAGCAAATGCCATCCTGACGTTGCGCACGATCCTTGGCCTGTTATTGCCTTACCTGAAGCATATCAATCTGCTGATGAGGGCTCTAGCCTTTGCGATATGTTCTTCAATTCTTATTCTCCAGGCTGGGATAGCGCTACTTTGTCAAGTGGCGCGTCCAGCCGTGGAAAGTTTGGCGCCTATAATACGGCACACTGCCAGTGCGGCGCCAAAAAGAATTGAGTCCGTCTCGCAAAGGTCCCGGCTGGCTTCCAAATAGGTCACCAGCATTGGGTTCAGAGCCCTCACGACAGCCCGATTCCGCTTGCTTAGGGCTATGCGGGGAAGTCGCGGTCGATTTTCGAGAGGCGTACTGCGCGTTTCCACAGTCGCCTCTTCCAATGTACTCCTCATATGCTCTAATTCCAGTTCCTGGGCGACTGTTCCATCATCGTTTGAATCAACCACAACTGGGGTTCACGGCGGCATTCACATTTGCGGGTTGCTCTGCAATTTGTGGCGTCGCATCCTCAGCCGTAGCATTTTCATCCGATGAGGGAACAGCCTCACGTCGTAGTCGTTCGAGTTCGGCGACATCAAATATATTTGAGCGCAAGATATACCGAACCCGGTCTGCCAGGTTTTGCTCTGAGACGGTTAAAGATGGCTCCAGCTCAGCAAAAAGACGATGCATCCTAGCCCGATACGCCAAACCTCCAACTTCTCCCCCTTTCGCCCTAAAATACGCCCGCAATGTGTTAGTATTCATTTCGGTTGTCCATCGCATGCGGCGTACTCCACCAGTGGCGGGTGCCGATTGCTGGGCCTACCAAAACAAGAGATGGGCAACAGCATCTTCCTAATAACAGGGCAAATTATAAATGGCTGCGGTTGCCAACTTGCCAAGCCAATAACAATAGTAACTTGGCAACTATGGCAACACGGGGGGTATTTAGTGTGGCAGCTATGAGGCAATCTATGAGGCCTTTGTACAAAAGTGGTATTTAATACACTATGATGGTGATTCTAATTTATTGAGACGGGGTATTATTAAATTACAATAGCTCTTGACAGCTGACCTCTTACTTCGTAGTTAAATGTAAGATATAGAGGTAATTTAACTAATGTATCAGACTCCGCTCCAAATTTAATTAAGATGCACTAAACGCAACGTGTGTGGTAGGGTCTTATTAGATTCATATTTGCTGAAGATTCTTCTTTCAACCTTTCATGAGCAGATATAATTTTGAAATAAAATACCAAAAATGTGCATGTAATTATATACGCACGTACGAAGTAAAACTTCTTAACGACATATCATTCTTCAAATAATAGTAGACTCGTGTGGCCCGGCGGTGAAACATTACAAGAAAACGTGACGTTTTTGTATTTTAATATCTTACTAAATATCCTCACTACGTCGATATAGAGGCTTCACTTCAAAATCAAATGGATAAAAGGTACGTAAGCTTTTAGCAAGTGATAAATCCCATTATACAAACAATTTAAAAATGTATGCCTCACACAAGCAAGTCAAATTTTTTTACATTTGTATAGCATATAATTGCATTTTAAGGATCTCCGTTTAAAAAAATTGTGCTAATCTTTACACTGCTTACAAAAAGTTGAAAAGTGAGTACCTAAATGAAAAGCTACTTTTCCCTAAAAACGCTATTTGGGACAGCACGGCGGACTCTTCTTACCCTTAAACCCTTTTAAAAATGAGTGTAAGCTTGTGTAAGGTGTGAGACATTAGTAGACTGTTTCTGTTTTTTGAGTCTTATTACCATAAACTAGATTTTATTTTTATTGGAACATCTAGACTTATTACGTACCTAGTCGTATGTTACTTAGAAATAAGAAAAAGTCAAATACATTAATTGAGTCAATTAAGCTTGTTCGCTAACCTGATAAAATGAAAAGCTACTTAAATACGAGATAATTGTTTAGAAAGAAGTTTTAAACCGAATTATACAATATACACACGTACGTAAAAAAATATGTTCAAAATAATATATAAAATATGTGTTAAGAGACTTCGTATTCTGCTTCGTACTTCGCTTAAGTAGACTATCAGCAGACAGCTTATTGTATTTATAAACACTTCTTTTCACGTCCTGATTTGGATATTTTTAGCCACAATTGGTTGAAAATTTTCCATCATGAAAACTAAAATTACTAATAGAGATTAGTTAAGTACTGAAACATTATGCTAAAATAAACGCAGCAAAATATAGCGGTGACTCGAATGCAGTTTATTACGAGAGTATTTCGGAGTTTGATTTGCAAAGAGAACGTAATAGTATTTATGGTAATGGGTACTTATTGATTTCTTAGGTAATAATTCAGGTCGAAAATGTATGAACTTAAACAATCGTGTGCGCATGACGTCGTGGACACTGTATTCGTAATGAAGTTTTGCCGAAACCGGATCTGACTAAACTTTTTTAAAGAACAATCGTATATATTATTGTATCTGCCGTACACGAAATATGTAAACATATTATCATATGACTACATTACATTTTATAGACTGACCGGGACCGTCAATAATTGCATTGAGTTTATGTTAATATAGTTTCTTTTATAATTTTGTTTCCATGTAATGTTTTAAAAGTCAATCGCGTCAACTTGCACATAAAGCTCAATTTAAACTACGCTATAACATATAGAATACAGCATAAATGTTATAATAGCACAACAAAATCGCTCGCACTATTTAGTTTTTTGACACGTTCATAAAATTCTATAATATCTAACAGAATATATATAACGTAGTCTGAACTGAACTTAAGAAGTTACTCGGGTACATTAAGATTATATCGTCTCTTTAATTTAAATATAGGTAATTTTATTTTATTTATTTTATTTGGATGACCAACAGCTATCATAATTAGGATAGATAGTACTAATAACAACAGTAAGCCAATTAAAGATCCTCACTAATAGATACAAAGGTGAATTTACAACAATGATAAACACGATTTAACACTCGAAAGTATCCAATACAACATATTTATGCCAATATATGTAATGATATGAATTCCTGCGTATTACACAATCTACATAAATATTTTATAAGTATCTAGAATGCATTCAATGGCACATCCAGCCAACTCAAACAAACAAGGTTACAGATGCGTTGTCAAATCTGAGGACTATACTGGAATGCCCCATAGCCTGTTTACTGGCTCCACATCGTTCAGACCGGAACATAACAGTGCACCTGCACGCACTGCTACTTGTTGGCAGAAATATTTCGTTTTACTTTAAGATCTTTATTGCATTCCCTTAGAGAAGGAGATAAAAAGGGCGGACTTAATGTTTAAAGGTATTCTCTACAAGTCACCCCATGGTACGAATTTGACGTAGGTGGAACAAATGAAAAATGAAAATTTTGAATTGTCATACGTGCCTTTTTTGACACATTCTGACTTTTCACAATAGAGTGTAGAGCCCCATTTACTTTACTCCCTGCTGAATACACATCCCAAATATACAAACTCATCTACTTGCTCGACCAATTCCCCTTCTACTCTTATTTCACATATAGTTTTACTTTCTTCTCTTTCAAAAACCATAACTTTCGTCTTACTTGCGTTCACTTTCATACCACTTTCTTATAATGACCTGTTCATTAATGTAACCATAACGCAAAAATAACTTGATCATCGGCGTACGAAAGGCATCTTAAACGTATTCTTTAATTTTCAATTTTTCCAAACAACTGTCCATAAATAGGTTGAACAGCCACGGGGAAGCCACACAGCCCTGGGACACAGCCCTGTCTTTATGGATGCCAAACCAGTCCGAGTGGACCCCGTTGATTCTAACACAAGCGCAAGAGTTCCTGGCTCAAGATCAACCTGGCGCTCAACCCAAATGAATTATATATATATATATATATATATATATATATATATATTGTATATATATATATATATATATATATATATATATGCGACTATTTAACAATATTGTAATTATAAATATGGAATATATAGAAGGATGATATCTACATAGCCGAGACGGACTTCTAGACAGAAAAGCAGTTCTTATACATATCTATCTCCATACATAGAAAGTGTCTTCAAACATAACTTATGTCACAAACAGAAACTGAGTCAATTCTATGATTGTAGTTATATACTAAGGGAAGAACTAAAAGATTGGGAACGTAGTAAGCTTAAAATCATAAATTAAGTTAAGGATTAACAAATGAATTGCTATTTTCGTTAATTCTATGGCTAACAAACTGCTATCTACTTTATGATGCGTAAGTTCCGGTCCCATCCTCATTCAGGAAATTTTAGTTTAACATTCAATGTATCTTCTAATCAGTTTTACAGAGTGATTCAATACTACCAATTACTATGGCTCATTGATTTGCTAATATAGTGAGCTATTAATATAGTTAATACGTTAAAATGACCTTGGCTATTGACTATTGATGTCAAAAATTAGTAGTCAAGTTGCATAAAGATTAAAATTCAATATCCATCCATCCGTTACAACTTTACAACCTATAAAAGTTCACTGCTGAACATATGCCTCCTTATAGATTAATAATAATAATAAATATATATTAATAATATTGACTCGCTTGGTGAGTAGATTGCCAATCGTAGTTTTGTATTATTTTGTTGTTAAACTTTCCCACTGTTTCAATCTCCCTCTGTCGCCTCTTACGACACCCACGGGACCATAAGGGGTTGTGGATATTCTTACACTGCAATGACACAGTAATATACTTATAATTATTTATATGCATATACAATAATGTCCTCCAGACCGAATTTCGGGCACGGCGGCCAGTCTCAACGGAGGCTACCCATCGGCGCAGGACAGGATTATAGTGTCCAAGTGTATGCGAAAGCACAGGTGCACTCTCTATTCCCTCACTCTCATAATTCGATGTGACGGTAAACCGACACGACCGGAGAGAGATCAGGCGCAGGACCAACGGCTTTACGTGCTTTCCGAGGCACGGGGGTGAGACACCGCCAACTTCCTGACTCCAGGCAGCTACTGAGAATTTCTTGACGGAAAAACTCAATAATTTAATTTGTTGGTCCGACTCGGGATTCGAACCGAAAAGTAGAGTTTACTTTGTTTATAGTTTATTTTAATTTTGTTTAGTATTCTCAATTTTGTTTCGGTCTTTTTAGCGCATTACTTTTAAATTGTCTTTTTTTGCAGTCGAGTTTTTGATTTTTTTAAACTATTTATTTTATGTACATACATGTACTAGCTGGCCAGATAGACGTCGTGGATTATTTCAATCCTTTGCTACACGCATTATTACTAAAAAAACACGAAATAAAAAAGAGAGAAACACTTACTTTAGATTTTATCGCCACAAACTTAGGTGTGTAAAGCGTTGAACTGTTCGTCCAGCTTTTTATTTGACTAGGAAAAAGACTAGTATTATGTTCTTCTAAGACTTCTTCCTTCAGGACACCACTGAAACAAAATAAAGGTCTTTAAATATGCAACTTAAGCCATAATTTGTAGACATTTTGTTAGCTTTACAACTGTAAATCGAAGCGGAATATCTAAATCGAGAACTATCTCAAGCAAACTGCCCACCATTGGATGTACACTTCTCCTATAATAGAGAAGATGTTTATTTTTATTAAATAGATAATATTTTAGATTCAGGAGTAGTCTCACTTAAATTTAAAGAAAAAATCCTTCCACAAGGGTACATAAGTAACTATTTATACGATATTTTCTTTGAAACTTTTGTATATTAGTATTGGGTATATACTACTTCGTAAGGGTTGAAACCTTAAACTTGTGATAGTTTTTAGTCCACATAAAATAGGAAAAAAAGCTTTTAGTCTTAACACCGACTTCAGAAGGTATTATGTGGAAATTATATTCTTTTTAGATTCTTAATTCAGTTTTCACTTATTTTAAGTTTAATTTTTAGTTCATCTTAATAAGCCATTGGTGGATCTGATGATAAGCGCACGTAAAATGTCACAGCAGGCAAAAAAAGAACATGGAATCCGATACCTGCCTGCGAGGCAGTATGAACGGTTAATTACAATTTTATATGTCCATTAGTGTAACCATCACCATCGTTACAGCCCACAAATTACAGTTCACAAGTCCTTTGCTGAACATTGTGCCTCACTCAAAGAATGCAACAAAGCACGGTCCTGATCCACCTACATCCATCATATCACCCGTATATTATATTAAAATTATAATATGTTTTTATAAAATCATCAAAATAATGTAAAATGAAATTAAAAAAATATAAAGTACCAGTTCCATAGGGTTCTATTCCATTTACCTGTTACAACCTATTTTTTCAGACGGTAAAAAAACACCCAGCATATTCTAAGATCAAAAACATATTACATAATACCTAACATACACAGATTAGATTCGGTCAAACATATTATGTATATTAAATAGAAATAATTTCGGTCCGAATGTATTGTGAATCTCTTCTTATGTCTGATATTTCACTTACCTTAAAGGATGAATCATCAGGATCACCATGAAGGGCAGATACAATTGATGAGTGTACCAGAAGGCGTTATATATTCTACGTCGTACTATCCGCAATGATGTCAGACCCATGCTTATGGAGATAGTTAACAACATAACGCCTGTTAAGCCCGCCGTACTCGTTACCAAACGTAAAGGATTCTAAAAAAAAAACTAATATTGTGTTAATTTATAGAAAAGCGATAAGGTGTATTAAGGTGACAATCCAGCACGCAATCCAACTGATAGTAAGTGGACGACGTGTGCCATAATACCAGCAATGTACCAGTAGAGGATCTCCGATTCTCTTTTAAGCTGGTGTTCCCTCGTGAGCGTGGTCCCTTTTTTGCCGAACCCACAACAAGTAAAACATACGCAACTGTGAGAAAACTAGTGCTAAACGGACCACACACTTGCATAATAAGTTATAAACATAGAACTACTACCCAATACGTAATTATTCTATGGTTATAAACTTTTATTTATTAATATTTGAAAGGCTTATACAGTTGCATTAGTTGTTGTTACGATTCCAGCGGTCATAAGTTGTCAAATTCACTAAATAACAATTTATAATTTAAATTAAAACTCCTATCTCAGTAATCATCAAGGCAATTGCAAATTAAGCCCTGAGACAGTGAAAGCCCTTTTGTGCAATTGCAGGCAGTAATGTGCGAGATATAACTATTACATCTAACAATATATAACATTGAAAGCTGTCCGGATTTTGCAAGACCTAAAATGGTTTTTCCATATTATTTTTTATATTTTTTTTATAATTAATTTTAATGGGGGACGGGGAAAACAAAACAAGGTTTTTAGGATTTTTTGGGGGGGGTGGGGGGTTAATTTTTTAGGTTTTTTTTTTTTTTTTTTTTTCTTTTTTTTTTAAAAAAAAAAAAACAAAAAAATTTTGTTAGAAGAGGAAATTTTTTTGATTATTTATTAATTAGAAAAGGTGGGGGTCCTTTTTTTTTTTTTTTTTTTTTTTTTTTTTTTTTTTTTTTTTCTTTTTTTTTTTTTTAAAAAACCTTTTATTTTTTAATTAACAATTAAACAACAATTATTCATTTTTACAGTTCCTACTTATGCAAATCCTAGAAATGTTATTGGTCTGTCAAATGAAGCACGGCCGTAGACTTTTTGGCAGTAAATATAAACTTGAAATAAATTGTATATAATTATAGCAATATAATTATATTAAAAAGAGCCAAATTAAAAGTACCATTAAACCACGATCATGTATGTGTAAGTAAATGGATGTTAAGACCGAAGTCTCTACTTATCCCTGTATGTGATAGGTGTGAGTGTTTACGTTATATATTTTCAATTAAAGCAACTCTAGCAGGTAACCGAACCTAAATTTTACAGACCAGTAACTACAAAAGCTTTCATCCTATGAGCTGGTACACATTGGGTGGTCGGTGTTGCATTAGGCGCGCGTCGATAGTGTACATACACCGCGCTCAGCATGGCGTTCGACGAGCGTTAGCAGGGCGAGTCCCTAATAGCGGTCGCTTTTGGATTTCATCGATAAAGAAAACCGTATCATAATGTTCGATCTCCACTCCACTCACACAATGTTCATGCGTGGCCACTACACGAAAGCGCGCAATCAAATGTAAAAAAACATGGCTGCTCAAATCAGCTCTTGAATAGAAGTGCCTGTTGGGATGTGTACGGATGTATTGGTTATAGATGGTTTTTAAAACAAGTTACAAGTTACCAAAGCGCGCGCTTCAAAACGCCTAATGTTTCCTCGCTCTATTTCGTCCCGTAAGTAAGAGGTGACTACGGTACAAAGCAAAAAAATTTCAATGGATTCCGATAAATAGCGTTACAACAATCTTTTTACGCCAGACGTAAAATGCCCAGACCGGCGTCGGACCAGCGTCAAAGGTGTGAGACATTCGGTACTATAATCGTCAATTCTGTTACCAAACGTAAATATTGATCGTAAAACGGGAGAAACCATGTGCTGCTGCGCATGCTGCTGCATGGATAATCGCCGGCGTGGACTATTGTGGGCCAATGCAAAAGGCCAGCATTACCACTAGGTGTCAATTCTGCTTTCACCAACCTGCCTGTCCAGCGTGATAATAAGAGCTATAATCTTCCATCTCAGACATACCAGCTAACGTGTTATGACTTGTGCCTAGTAAGCCGATTTTCGAAAATTTCGTTGAAACATTTCAGTTGATTTCACTTTCTATTCCCGAAAATGTTTGAAATTTTATAGAATATTTCTATTTATTATTGTTAATTTTATTTAGTATTGTATTGTATAATTATATTATTCTATAATGTATAATTATATAAATAAAATATTTGTAAATATGTTTAATAGTAATAAATGCTTAAATAAAATTAATAAATATTTGTGTGAGTCACACACTTTTTCATAAACAAAGAACTCTTCTAACACAAGAGACTATGTACTAATGATGACTAATTACAGTTTCTCGGAAGTCCTCTTAACGAAAAGAGTTGGATACAGTGGGGCATTAATGATTAATGTTTTCAGCGTGGAAGGGCCTCAAACTTTGTTTTCTCTATAATTGTTTCTTTAGAAAAGAAAGTAATCAGCACTTTATAAGTTAATTATACTTTGTTCAACTATTTTTCATTTTTCTTTATCATTATTAATCCGTAAGAGTTTACTGCCATACGTAGAACTTTACCACAGATGGGAGGCTTTACTACAATCAACACGAATAGCAGACGAGACACTCTTTGATAGTATGGCGTTCTCTCAAAATGATCAACGCCGCAATAATTTTAAATGAGCACCTATCACTTTAAGCTTAGTATCGGAGACTCCGAGATAAAGACTGATTTTTTATAAAGATAAACTGATTGTCACTAAATTCAAACTGATCTGAGCTGCCCGAGATGTGGGTTGGATGAAAAATCAGTGCATACTGAGGTTGGTTCATTTTGTGGTTATTCTAAAAGAAAAATTATATGTGTGATATTCATTGGTCGCAACTACACAGAATTTGACGTGTGTTGAGAAAAACGAACCAACAACTTATAACATTGAATATTTAGGTAGGTTCGTACAAAACATGTTAGGAGTTTAATTTCGCTATTTGATGAAACATGACAGTGTTTAAAACGTTACCAAGGCGTTAGTGAACGCCCGGTCTATTCTCTATAAATAATTTAATGTGCTCCAAGGTAAACAAGAAACACGTCTCAAGAAAATTCACTTTAAAAAGGATTTTGTTTTCTTTTCTGTTTTAATGTTCGTCATTTAATTATGCAACGCCAACTTAAATCAAATGTGACTTGTTGATTGTAAATATGGTGCACATACGTTGTGTTTAACTCATGACTTGTGGACCCTATATTAAAACACAAATTGATGGTGATCGCGTCGGAATTTATTATGGTACTTGTGTGGCCGTGCAAGGAAAAGGGGAGATCTCCCGCACGGCAGGGTGTTCTGCCCGGGGAGCGGCCAACACTCCGTGTGATAGTTCGGAGATGTTCTATATATACTGATTATGATTCGGAATTTTGATAGCGCGATTTAGGCTTCGGTGTGTTTCGCTTGCGACGCAGTGCCGCCACATCACCCCCCTGCTCAGACTGGAGGTCGATAGTGCAGCCTCATTGCCGACGAATATGCAAGTGGATTGCCTTGTAGTCTGCGGTTAGTCGAGAATAAGGCAAGTAATCTGCGAGAGTGCCGTGAAGCAGAGGCGAGCAGTAGCTTGAAGGAACAGGAAGCATTATTATTCCAGTGCTGCGATGAACCTTGTGAAGCTAGCTGGCTTGCAGGATATGAAGACTGCAGACGATATCTGCTCGGGAGGGATTGTGTGGGATATTCTATGACGATGATGAAGCTTGAAGTTTCAGATGGTTGTTGGTTGCGTGTTCAGATCACGTCGCGTGGTCACCACTGTGGCCGTGGAAGGAAAAGGGGAGATCTCCCGCCGGGCAAGGTGTTCTGCCCGGGGAGCGGCCAACACTCCGTGTGATAGTTCGGAGAAGTTCTATATATACTGTTTATGATTCGGAATTTTGATAGCGCGATTTAGGCTTCGGTGTGTTTCGCTTGCGGCGCGACGACAGCGCCGCCACACTTGTATTCATGTCGATAACATGAATACTAATGAGAATTATTCGAAAGAAAATAACTAACTAACCAAGTCGATATACTTATTACTTATTATCATTACCATAAGACAGAAAATACTCGTACCATTTCAAAACATACAAGTGTAATTTATAATTACATAACTGTAAAGTTGAGACATCGACAATCAACATTTAAAAAGCCCCCACTAAGAATATCAGACGTACATTCACATTCAATATATTCATTAACGTTCCCTTCTCAGACAATGTTCCATTAAGTCTCAATTCTACACAATGAATGTGCAAACACACGTCCAGACGAGCGCGTACATTATAAAAGAGCCATCGCACAATGAGCATCAGATGGGGCGTATACCTACATCACGCCTTTGCACCCCTCTTCTTGGAGTGTTTGTTCTAGCACTACCACTATTGTCAGTGACTATTTCCTATCTCACCGCTACTATCTCAATTGTGTAGGAATTCACTGAGTATATTTTGTTTAAATAGTTCGTATTAGCTGTTTCTACTTTTATTCTACGAGTACATTTCTTACGAGCTTTATTTGAATTTGTATTTACCGTGCAAATAATATATATATTTAATTAATAATATAATTTACAGCCATTTAAACGTTCACGGCTAAATTTTAAAAAAAAGTTCATTTCTATAATTAAAAAACAAACTTATTACGGATGGCGATAAATACCTCTGTTACAATGAAAGCAAAGTTAAGAGGTCTGGTACTGCTGAATTTTTATAAGTTCATCAACCCATTGAAAAAAAGACACAACTGTATAAGCAAAGAAGGTTTTCAGGTTATTTTACTGAATATTTAATGTAATCTGTAAACACTTAATGTTGACCTACTGAAACTTTTTTCGCCGACAGGAGCAATTATTCTACATGTGTATGTTTGTACATTAACAAGCAACGGAACCGTGGGTGTGCTACTAGTTCAGAAATTAATCAGATATACAAATCAGTCAATCTGCATCTTGGCAACGATACCTACACGCCTCTCAAACATGACGCGATTGTTCAACAGTTCAAGATTTATAAATTATTTACACTAGAGTTTATGAATCTCAATGTAAATAAACTCAAACAAAGTACTATAATCAATAAATAATAACATGATAATGGCAAAAATACTTGCAACTGTATCAAAATAAAGTAAAAGCTAAAATGGAAACCTTATTTGTAACGTTCTGCAGGGTGTAATGCCACTCCTGTGTGCAATTGAAACGACGGTAAAGAAATAAAAAGGCAACCTTTCTTACTCCGTGTTTCTGAAGCGAAACAGACTTCGCAAAATTTAACAAAATAGGAATTTTATTTTGAATTTTCTTCTAGAGTGCATTCATTCAGTGCAAGGAAATTAATGTATTTCATGACTGTCATTCGTCTGTTCTACTTTTAAATTTTATTACCCAAAATATGTTTCATATTTACATTTGTAAACTATAGGAATAATTACCGCCAAATAACAGCGTTTGTACAGCCGTATTCTAGTCTGAAGTGTATAGAAAACCAGTTAATATTAACTGTGAGGCATACCATACTCTTGATGATTTTTCTTAAATTACCTTTTATTGCGCTTAGGTTTTTACATTTTATTTATTTATAAAGTTTAATCACTTTAAAAGTAACACTTTTTTACAGTTCTGTGGTGTGTTATTGATATCCTACTTCATACGTTGACAATTTTTTTATCATGAATTACAAGAGAGATCAACTCTTCAGTAGAAAATTAGATATCGTACTATCTTTAATTGGATATAACGTCACTCAGGAAGCTATATATAAGCCATGCCTGGCAGGCGGACTCTTTTCGAGCCTCAGCACGAACACAGTCCGCATTGTAACAGGGCCGAGCTTCGTGATCGAGCGGGATGTCGGAGAACGGAATAAAATCCTTCCTTGTGGGCTGCGGGTGTCCATGGATTACAGTAGCCACTTACCATCAAGTACATTGTAAGATTTCTTGTAAGTTTAAAAAAAGAACACTTAAAAATTATTGCAAGTAAGTCGATACAATCGTTCAAAAGTCCAAACAAAAGTACTACGGAGTATTTTTATATTATTCTACACCCGAACTCTAGATATAAATTACAAGAACAGCGTTGCTAACTTTTGATTTGATTTATTATGATAAACATAGAGGCCAATTCGAGTTATAAATTAATGTTAGAGTTAAAAAACCTGAAAATGCAAGATCACAGTCATGAAATTGTTTTATTGGCATCGGCACAGGTTATTCAGACGTTCTGTAGGAAGAGTCCAAAGTGCAACGATTACTTGGAACACGTTTAGCCAAAAAAAGATCTGAGTTATTATACCTAGTGCCAAACGTTAAGTGCACACGTAGAGACACTTCAAATTCCACCTGATCCGTGCCCGTTGTGACTCTTTTGAAGTGTGTAAGACCTAAGATAAAGCAACAGAGATACAGAGTAGTAGATCACAGCCTAACCTAAACCAAAAATTTTCTGGCTGGGATACGAACCGGATTCCGCAACTAGTTAAGTAGTCGATGCCGGTCTTCAATTAAAGTAATAAAACTTGCCAACAACATCTTTTCAGGGATTACAGAAACCCGTTTTTACTACCAACTAACCATTTGGTAACGTAATTTAAGTTCATTTTTTAAAATAACTATGGACCCCATTCTCGTTTCAAGAGTGCGGCACAGTAGTACGCATTGCATTGTTAGCAAACTAACCTCGTTCTTGTAGCGCGCCATGTTAATGTCCGCCCTGTGCTCATCGTAGTTGCGGGAGAAGTTCCACAGATTCACGAAATGCGATAAGGAATGTATTACTGTAAAAAATGTTAAGACTTACTCGCTTTATTATATTTACACAAATAGCACACATTAAATAAAACTAATTTTTCTTTCACGAATTAAAAATAAGATAAAAATAAACGCGATATATATATATATATATATATATATATATATATATATATATATATATATATATATATATATATATAATTTTCTACTTTGTTATTAAAACTCCTTTTTAAAGAAGACTTATTTAAGCCACTCCGTGACAGTACAATATTCAAGTGAGATTTAAAATTTGCATGGTGAGTGTAGAGAATCGAAGACCCTTTTTACTGGAAACGAGGCATTCCATCTTAGTCCTCACGGGTGACAACGCACCTGCATTTAGATTCTAAATCGAGGATATATCTAGATGTCTATGGGCCACAACAACCACATCAGGTAGACTGTGTGCTCGTTTGTCACCGTAACCTACAAAAAAAAGCTTTTCGAAACTTAATCGTACGCACATAAACAAGCTATATTAAATTACTATGAACATATTTACAACACAAACACTCTGCGCACAAATAAAAAGTACTCTGAAATCTAAATACGCACTATATTGGAGCTTTAAACTGAGGAAGGCTCGAGGTTCTAACTAGTGCGAGACGACCATTAGCCTTCGTCTCAAGAACTTAATGGCACCCGAGACCGAGGGCGTTGTAGGTCTAATAATCATTAGGGTCGCTAAATACGAGAATGAATCATAAATACACCTAAATTTCAGGAAATTATTTTTTGAAAAATGTCTTTACATTTGAGTTTTAATGACGGACTAAATGTGCCCGGTTTGCCTTTTAGAGTTCATGAACTAGCTCTCTGCCTGGCATGTGTTGCAATTTCTCTTTTTTGTCAGAAGCCTTTGTAGACGTGCGTTCAACATCCCGCCAAAGTATCATTATAATCAATGAATGTCATTTGAACGCATAAAGGACGAACAAGCTAATAATAATATTCCTTTTTTGTCAGAAATCTTAAATTGGGGTAATACAGATACATTATTTTATCTTGAGGAAAAAAATTGGTGTAATAGGTGACCAAAGTAGAAGGTAGAAGCCTGTGATATGGAATTTTTTTTATAATTGTTTCAAAGTAAATTTAATTTTGAAATAATAAAAATAAATACATAAACACTCACGCCTGTCACCCAGAAGGGTAGGCAGACTACAGATTTTCGTTTGGCACGATCCATGACCTCTCTCACCTCCTCCACATCCATATACCTACGCATACATGCTCGTCGGTTAAGGGTACTTCTAATTTAGCCCATTTTCAATATATCGCCAATTTGGTCGATAAACTTTCGCCTAGGACGTCCCTTTCCGACTCTTCCATTCACTTCTGCAACATAAACTTGCTTTGTCATTCTTTTCTCATTAATTCTTTCTACATGATCAAACCACCGAAGCATTCCTTTCTTAATCGTGACCACAACATCATCTTGGAAATTACACTCTTCTTTTATCACAATTTCTCACCCTGTCACTCAGATTCAGCTCTAACATACTCCTTAGCCACCGCATTTGTACTGCATTTATTCTACTCTCGTCCTTCTTTTGCCACACTCAACTCAACTCAACTCTCACTACCATACGTCAAATTTGGGACTAACACAGCATTGTGAATTGCCATACGTGTTACGTGCCTTTTTCGACACATTCTGACTTTTCACAATAGAGTGTGGAGCCCCATTTACTTTATTTCCTGCGTTCCCTCGTCGTTCTATATCATATCTCCCATCCCTGCTGAATACACATCCCAAATATACAAACTCATCTACTTGCTCGACCAACTCCCCTTCTATTCTTATTTTACATTTTAAAACGATACTTTCTCCTCTTTACCATAATTTTCGTCTTACTTGCGTTCACTTTCATACCCCTTTCTTTTAAAGACCTATTCATTAATGTAACCGTCATTTGTAACTCAGCCACCGACGACGCAAAAATAACTTGATCATCGGCATACAAAAGGCATTTGACGGTTAAGTCACCCACTTTCAAATTTTCCAAACAACTGTCCATAAATAGGTTGAACAGCCAGGGGAGCCCCGTCTGACACCTTTATGGATGCCATACCAGTTTGAGTAGACCCCGTTGATCCTAACACAAGCGCTAGTCCCTATAAAGAGACTTTAATGGCTGTATCAACCCAGCGTTCAACTCAAATAACTTCAGTGTTTACCATAACACATCCCTGTCCACTTTGTATTAAGCCTTTTCCAAGTCCATGAACGCACAAAAAACTCTTTGGTTTTTGGCCAAAAACTTCTCCGCGATCACGCGCATGGAAAATACTTGATCTGTACATCCCATTCCCTTTCTAAAGGGGATAGGCCACAAGACCACCCGATTTCTGAACTGGTTTATGATAATTATTTAAATATGTAAGTACACACATTAAGTAAAAATACTCACCAGCAAATATCAGAAGTGTAATAGCGACAGTCATATGGAAACTCTTTGCTCTCTCCAGCCAAAAGAAAAATAATCCAGGCCATAATTTCGAAAGTATGCGGTAGAGCAGTTGATTGAGCTTCTTACACAAGGGGAGCAAAACCAACGCACAGCATATGTTAAGTACATTTGCGGTGCCTCGAGATATGCATAGTCCTGACTGAAAATGGTTTAAAAATAAAAAAAAAACATGTTTACACATATAAACTATCTTTAAAAAAATATTTTGTTCATAAAATCCAGTCAACGAAGCAGAATGATGAACGTGGTAGAGCCATGTTGCAACCATATTATGGTTGTTGCACGAATGGGTCGGCTCGGACCGGTGTAGGACCACGCTCTCATAGAAAGCCAGCATAAAATAGCAGCTTAATGCTGCTGTGTTTTATATGGTGAGTGTAGAGATCCAGAGACCCTTTTTAATGTCTCGTCATTCCATCTTAGTTGTCATGGGTGACAACGAATCTGCATTATCAGTGTTAATCGAGGATAATGTAGATGTCTATGGGCCTCAACATTAACTTACCATCAGGTGGACTGTGCGCTCGTTTGTCACCCATATTATTTAAAAAAAGATGGAGCCATCGTTCGGATAACAACTAAAACTAATAAAATATTGCGCTTGCCACAGGTAGGTTGGCAACTATAGCAAGCGTGGTAACTATGGCAAATATCCCCTAGAAAATAGCCATGTTCAGCAGCGGACTTTTAACAGTTTTGACAGAAAATATTTTCCCTAGTAATTTTATTTCGATTTAAACGTTAGTTACACATGTATTTTCTGCTGTATCATGGGTTTGTTGGGGCATTTTACATGCAAAACTACACATGAACAAACATCAAGGCAAGAAGCAAATATTTTTAGTAATCAACAAAGACCGCCTCATTGATCTAATGGTAAAACACACACTGATTATGAGGTCCCGGGTTCGAATCCCGAGGTCGGGCCAAAATTAGATATTGCGTTTTGCTGTCAAGAAATTCTCTGTAGCAGCCCGGAGTCAGGAAGTTGGCGGTGTTCCACTCCCGTGCTTCGGAAAGCACGTAAAGCCACTGTTCATGCGCCTGATCTCTCTCCGATCGTGTCGGATTGCCGTCCAATCGGACTATAAGAGAGAATAGAGAGTGCACCTGTGCTGGCGCATACGCCCGGGCACTACTGTACTGCACAGACGGAGTCTTCGTTGAGACTGGCCACTGAGACCGAAATTTGGTTTGAAGGACATTAAAACATAAAACATTATCAATACCCGAAAACCAATAAATACAGACTTTGGATTGGAACTCGAATTTCTATTTAGTTTTTCTTCAAAACTGTGGTGACAACGAATTTACAGTTCACCAAATAGTCCAGATGGTAAGTGGATATTGTAGCCCATTTACCCCTGCAACCAACTTCAAGCAAAGAAGGCTTCAGACGCAATGTCACCTCTGAGGACTTAATTAGAATGTATTACAATGTAATTGTTTTAGGCCCTTCAGACTAGTACAGAGCAATGCAGGTAATGCTATATACGGCTGAAAAATGTAAGGGAGTAGTAAATTAAAGCACTGTTTCTCATTGCCTTAAATCATTACTACTAATACGGGGGAATTATTATTTTTGTAATGAAGATTATATCTGGTCGTAAATAGTTAATTCTTTGCGGAAACAATATCTTTTATAAAATTGTTTTGATTTCGTTGCAAATAACATTTTTAACAATTGTTTATGTTGTTCTAGCTAACTTTTTTAAAACTGTAAACATCGAAACACCGTGATTCAATTGTAATGACCTAAATTATTCACATTCTGTAATGAGACACAACGAAACTGTATAAAATGATACATCGCGCGTGCATGTTAGGAATGTCTTTTAGCAACATTGTTTTAACCATAGAATACTATAAAGTAAAAGTAAAGTAAAGTTACAGCCTATATACGTCCACTGCTGGGCACAGACCTCCACTCATTTCTGAGAGGGTTTTAGGGCAAGGAAGTGTCCGCCGCGCTGCCCCAGTGCGTGTTGGCGAACTTCACATGTCTTCGAAATATTTTTTTTCTTATTTCTCAAACATGCAGGTTTCCTCACGATGTTTTCCTTCACCGCCGAGTACGTGATAAATCAGCACTTAAAATTGCAATTAACAATTTCATTGGTGCCGGCGGGGATCGAACCCGGTTTGCTCGCGTATTGCGAAATTTACGGCGAGCGCTAACCATCTGAGCTACCACGGCTCTTAGAATACTATAATACGTATATAATATAGTATTCTATGGTTTTAACACTGCAAGAATTTTAAAGATCTAGGTATATATTATGTACTTACCCCTAAAATTCCTCTTAAATGATAAAATCGTCGATCCTTATAATAGTAAAGAAATGTATCGTAAAAAATATATATAACTAATGAGATCCATGATATCTGAAACAAAAAATCTGTATTAAATGTTTTATATGTAATGATAAAAGTGAGCCAGCATTCCTCTTAGTAAAAAAAACATTGTTAACGCCGACTTCAAAAATAAAAAATAAAGTAATAATCTAATGAGGATAATCCACTACTTTTTCTGCCACCAGAGCGGCGCCACTTACAATTGAGGTGCGTAGACAGAGAAACCTATTGAGGTGTATATTTGACAGATTTCTTAGCGGGGAACTCAATTTGTTCGAAAAATGTGAAGGTTAATGTTTCTTTATGTACTATTAGTTATGTTTTATATTAATTATGTAGATTAAAAATAAACCAAACCAAAGATATCCATGAAAGTAGAAAATTAAAAAAAAAAAGAGTTAAAAAAGTGCAAAAAATTAAAGAGCAAACGTCAGAGACATTGTTTTGTGTATTAATATATAAAGAAGAAATTGATAAAATTTTATTTAAAACTAACTTCTCAATTAAATTAAATTGTGTAGCAAAAAACTTCACCTCAGTGTCTACTAGCGGCACCAGGAGAGCGGAAGATTATCAGCCCTCATTGAATGAAGTCAATGCTAAGCCATAATGTATAAAATAATGAAAGCCGACTTTTACTTTTTATTAAATGTAAATTTTTTTTAGCATTTTGAGTGGACTATGAAATATCACAATATCAATGTTGTCTAAACGGATACATTAAAAATTTCACTTCCTATTTGGAGGTTATTGGAGTTTACTTCTTAATAATCGTTTCATATATAGCGCACGGTATGAAAAATAGATGGGTAGTCATGGGCGGATCTATATATAGCCTTTTCGGGCTGCAGCTCAAGGCACCGTGGATATAAACGGCCCCCAGCCCCCAGTGAAGACAATAGCTGTCAAAGCTTCAAAAATAATTATGGTAATATTATGAAAATTTCATGACTGTAGTGGAAATGTGGATGAAAGACTTAATTTTCGAAAAGAGGCACGAAATTTATTTATTAAAGTGGCTAAACCCGATACTATTTTATAGGAGATATTTTGGAAAGGATATTTATGAAGGCAACAAGTCATTTAAGGTGTTCATAAGTTACATACGACACCAATCGGATCAAAAATTAAAGATATAGGAGGAGAAAGCTAAAACTTAAATACGAATTCAAAATTTTTCACTTCAAATGTTTTAGTTAAATTCAATAGAGTCAAACATTTTAAAGAGACACGCTAAACGTTGCGTTGGATAAGCTGTTTTGGATTTAAATAGAAAATGCCAACCAAGTCTGTGAGGCATATAGTAAAAAACTCAAATTTTTGGTAGATTTGCAAGACAATAATAATGAAAACAGATCTGGAAAGTGTATCTACGTAATATTATTGATTATCATTATCCAGATGACATAGACGCACATTTAGTGTGAGTGAATACGGTTAAAATCTTACTAAAGCCTAAGCTAGAGTCGTACACCCCTTGCAGTGAAATGTTTACGCTTATTAATGAAAATAAACTTCTTGATGTTTTCCCAAATAATATTTAAAAATATTTATTAAAAAATATATTTTTTATGTATATTTAAAAATATTTTATACGATATTTAAAAATATTTATTAAAAATATATTTTTTAACGTTGTCAAGCACTAGCTGTGAAGCGGAGCTCTGTTTCTCCAGGATGTCGTTAGGCAAACTAAATATAGGTCAAAAATGTTGAACAATTGACTTAATTATTTATCAGTTCTTACTACAACTTATGATTTAACAAAAGACTGACAATGAGATGAGCAATTAAAGGAATTTGCAGCGCAAAAATCTAAAAAAGTCTCTAAAACTTATTTAACATAACTACACGTAAACCTGTTAATTTCTTATGCAATAATGTCTTAATGTTGCTGTTTGTGTATCTAAGTCACTTTTTTTCCAGACCGTATACATCACTATAGAAAACAGTTTTTTGATGTGATTAGTTTGATTAATTTGGTAGGGCCTCAAGTAATGTTTGCTCAGGGCCCCACTAATTCACGGTCCACCCCTGTGGGTAAAGTAAAATTAAACTTCAACAAAAAGTGAAACCGTGGTTTTCCTTTATGCAACATACTCGCGCATCTCGTATCGCGAAATTAATAGTATTATATTATACTTTTCAAATCAATATAAATAAATATATGGTTCGCGTACTCCCTTTGCCTAAAAGTAAAAAAGTACAGTTACAGCCTATATACGTCCCACTGCTGGGCACAGGCCTCCTCTCATTTCTGAGAGGGTATTAGGGCAAAGAAATGTCCGCCGTGCTGGCCCAATGCGTGTTGGCGAACTTCACATGTCTTCGAATTTTTTTTCTTATTTCTCTGACATGCAGGTTTCCTCACGATATTTTCCTTCACCGCCGAGAACGTGGTAAATCAGCACTTAAAATTGCAATTAACAATTTAATTGGTGCCGGCGGGGATGAAACGTGAAATTGACAGCAAGCGCTAACCTATTGTATATATTTTTAAGACAATCGTTTTTCAGAAGTAAAATCCAATCACGTGTAGGAGCTGACACGCACAATTTTAAACGCCTTATGGGGTGGAATATTTTCCCCTAATTTATATGGGACCAATTATTTAATAAAAAATAATCATCAAGATGTGTTCATAATTGACGTATAATCGTGTAACATGTAATGAGTAGGGTTTTTTTTCTGTGTGTGGGCTTCCCCAGACTGGGTTCGTTTGAAACGGGGGACGATTGAAACAAAGCGTATATCTCGACACCGTGCGTGATGAGGTTCAGGGGTATAAGGAAAGAAAGGAGCGGGTGGAAAGTCGGAACACGAATTTAAGTGTTGCGTCGCTCTTCGCGCGCTGTGTTTATGTATAGGAGGCCTCATTGTGTTTTTTGACGTAAAAGTAAGTATTTTTTGTTCGTAAATTTTTGCAATTATTATGGTTTTATTAAAGTAATAATATTGAGTATTTTTTATCGTTTAAATTAAAGTTTGTAGAATATGGCTGTATGATTAGTTTTTATTCAAATTTGTTGTCATTCTTACTATGAACCGTTTTCTACCAAGAAGGGGGGTTGGGGACAGTTGAAACGTTTTTTGTGGGTACAGTTGAAATAGTTTATTTATTTAATTTTCTTGTATCTTAGATTCAAAAGGTACGCCAAAGGAACTACGAAAGGTAAGGCCGACTTATCGAAGTATAAACAAGCCTATGAAGATGTAAAAGCCAAATCTTCATTAGGTAAAGCGGCAGAAAAGAATGGACTGAACAACTCTTCCCTGTATGTACGTAAACGAGATGTGACTGGTGACGATGAAAATCAAGAAATAGATTATGAGGCTCACAATCGAATGTTTAAGCAGGAACAAGAGCGTGAGCTATCTAAATATTTGATTAGATATGCAGACATACATTTTGGCCTAACTAAAAATGATGTTATGAAATAAGCATACGAACTAACCGTCAAGACGCCTTATCACGACCTGGTTTCGCATGTTTATGAGAAGAAATCCGAAGCCGTCAGTGCGTGCAGCAGATAGAAACTTAAAAAGAAATAACGTAGATGCTTTCTATGACAATTTGGCTACTATCATGGACCGTTATAAATTTGAATCCCAAAATATAAATAATGCTTGATTTGAATATTAATAAAAAATATTTGTGATGTTCAACTGTGCCATTACGAGTCGTAAAATGTTATTAGACGATTAATAAAACATATTCATTTATTATATTTTGTATTATTTGCATGTTTCAATTGACCCCAGGCACTGTTTCAACCGACCCTGGTATGGGGACGGTTGAAACAAATTACACTTTTTTTTAAATGTGATTTTAAATATAAAATATAATACAGTGATCTCAAATAACATTGCCTATTAGTAAACAGATATATGGTCTTTTATTTAATATATTTCGTTCATCGCTCGCTTAACTAATCCCGATGCAATTGACAATAAACGCTAAAATGTTTCAACCGTACCCAGTCTTTTTTCTTTTTACCGCACACTTATCCGTCCCCAGCTCCATTCCAATAGAATTGCTAAATTCACAAGTGATGTTTAGCAATTCCATAAGATGGGAGCGACTGGAGGCGAATAATTTGAGGTCATCCATATAGAAAAGGTGGGTCACTTTTGTACCTCCCTTCCGAAGCTGAAATCCCCTCCCGGAGCCCTCCAGTAAAGTACTGAGAGGGTTCAAAGAGAGGCAGAACCAGATTGGACTCAGACAGTCGCCCTGGAATATACCCCTTCTTATCCTTATGCGGCTTTCCGCAGCCGTCATCCGCTCGCCCAGATGACAGAGGATCGTACTCCACTGCCCCATACACTGCCCGAGGAAGTCTCGAACTGTACAGTCAATCTTGTACAGCTCGAGGACCCTCTTTAGCCATGTATGGGGCACCGAGTCTAATGCCTTTCTTAATCTATCCAAGCGGCGGATAGGTTCCGATGGTTGCGTTTCACCACTTTGCCAATGACCGCGTCAATGAGGAGTGGTTCCTTGGTTCCACGACCGCCGCCCCGACATCCATTTTGAGCGCGCGACATCACCTGATTTGAGTCCAGGTGACGAGCGATTCTCGCGCTCAAAATGGATGTTAGTGTCTTGTATATAGTCGGTAGACACGTGATGGGGCGGTATTTGCTCGGGTCTGTGGCACCCTGATCTTTAGGAACCAAGTGAGTGATCCCAGTAGTGAAGAGGCGTGGGAGCGACTTCTGCCTGAGAGCCTCTTGAAACTGTCGGGCGAGCACAGCGTGACACACTATGAACCCCTTCAGCCAGTAGTGATGCAGCCCGTCAAGCCCCGGACTTTTCCAGTTCGGGGCCCTACGGACCGCCTCAGCTACGTCATCCGGCGTTATGATGACGGGGTCCATGGGCGTAATACCCGCACACTGACTCGTCACAACTTCCGTCCAAGGGCCCTCGTTGTGGTTTACGGGCTTTGACCACAGGCTGCACGCCAGAATGCGACCGTGTCGGCCTGATTTGGTGCTGGGCCCGTTCCACATACTATTGGTCGCTCCAATGATTTGTAGAGCCTCTTCTGATCACTCTGGAAGAGACGATTCTGGTTGGACCGTGTCGACCTCTCGGTATATCGCCGAATCCGCTTTCCCCAAGCAGCGATTCTTTGCTTCAGGTCGTCTATGCGCTCCGTTAGTTTTTGCGTTATATCCGGCTGGGACAAACTGACATTTGTCCCAGCAAACGCCATCCTGACGGTGCGCACAATCCTTGGCCTGGTATTGCCTGACCTGAAGCATATCAGTCTGCCGATGAGAGCTCTAGCCCTTGCGATACGTTCTTCAATTCTTATTCTCCAGGCTGGGATAGCGCTACTTTGTCCAGTAGCGCGTCCAGCCGTGGAAAGTTTGGCGCCTATAATACGGCAGACTGCCAGTGCGGCGCCAAAAAGAATTGAGTCCGTCTCGCAAAGGTCCCGGCTGGCTTCCAAGTAGGTAACCAGCATTGGGTTCAGAGTCCTCACGACAGCCCGATTCCGCTTGCTTAGGGCTAAGCGGGGAAGTCGCGGTCGATTTTCGAGAGGCGTACTACGCGTTTCCACAATCGCCTCTTCCAATGTACTCCTCATTTGTTCTAGTTCCAGTTCGGGCGACTGTTCCGTCGTCGTTTGAATCAACCACAACTGGCGTATTCACGGCGGCATCCACGTTTGCCGTTTGCTCAGCAAGTTGTGGCGCCGCATCTTCAGCCGCAGCATTTTCATCCGATGAAGGAACAGCCTCACGTCGTAGTCGTTCGAGTTCGGTGACATCAAATGTATTTAAGCGCAAGATATACCGAACTCGGTTTGCCAGGTTTTGCTCAGCGACGGTCACAGATGGCTCCAGCTCAGCAAAAAGTCGATGCATCCGTGCCCGATACGCAAAACCTCCAGTTTCTTCCCCTTTCGCCCTATAGTACGCCCGCAATGCGTTGCTGTTCATCTGGGTTGTCCAACGCATGCGGCGTACTTCACCAGTGGCGGGTGCCGATTGCTGGGCCCGCGAAGAACCTGCCGACACCAAGCCAGCTGGTGAGGATGATGGATGCGAGGGGCTGCTGGGTGGTCGTGCAGCTCCTCGCGCTTGGCTGGCGGTTCGCATGCTGTCGCGTCCAGCGCCAGCTCCAGACGCGCCCTGGCGACCTCCAGGCAGCGGCCCTTTGTGCGTTCTTCCGTATTTCTATCATCCATAGTGGTGGGCGTCATTTAGCGGGAGACGCCCAGACCCGGCGCCGTTTCGTGGTTAGGCCATGTACACAAGCGGGCCTTTGCACCTTCAATTTTTGCCGAGGCACGGCACTCACACCTCTTGGCAAGGTGCTGACTGACTGCGCTGACGTACCGGTTTTGTCACATAATCGTTACGTCAGCGGGCGATGGGGTCGTCACTTCCCTACGCCTTATTATTATTATTATTATATTATTAGTATTAGTAAGTCGAAACGAAATGGCCTTATACCTTGACGAATCGATAACCGATAGGGAATAAAGATTTTCGTGTGGCAACCTCGTACCGGTTAATGAAGTGTCTGCCCCTCACTATATGGAGTGACGACCTAGTAAGACTTGCAGGAAGTCGGTGGCATTCCTTAGAGGCTTATGTACGGCAACGGTCTTGTAAAGGAATATATTGATGATGGTAATAAATATAGGCAAAATATATGTCACCCGCTGTTTAGATCATTAGTTAGCGCACGCTGTAAATATCACACTTATGCGAGCAACCCGGGTTCGATCCCCGCTGGCACCAACGAAATTGTTAATTGCAATTTTAAGTGCTGATCAACAATGTTGATCGAAGATTGTTGATCGAAGGTGCTGATTTACCGCGTACTCGGCGGTGAAAGAAAACATCGTGAGAAAACCTACATGTCTGAAAAATAAGAAATAAAAAATTTCGAAAACATGTGAAGTTCGACAATATGCATTGAGACAGCACGGCGAACAATTCCTTGTCCTATAACCCTCTCTAAATGGGAGGTCTGTGTCCAGTTGTGGGACGTAGCTGTAACTTAACTGGTTAGATTAAATATTGAGTTATTATATAGTAAATTTTAATACAAGAATAGTTAAATCTCGATTTAAACATAGCTGTAGTATCTGTATAATTTCGTGGAAACAGAACAGTTCAATTATTTTAGTAGCTTTATTTTTAGTTTAAGAATTCTAGATTGTTTAACGTCTGCTATTACAGTAAACGATGCCAGTGTGTTTATAAGAGCTCAGTTTTGCGTTTGAAAACGCTGAGACTTGAAATGAGCGTGAATTCCAACATTTTGTATGACACGCGTCGGAAGTCAAACAAGCGTGCCGGTAGCCACTTCAGAGCAGACGGCATTCACCGTCCGCGCGTAACTACTACGCTGTACAACGCCTTTGACAGCCCACCTCCATTGAACAACTGAATGGAGTCGATGACAGAGCGCTCGAGTGTGGCCCCGCATTAATTACTGGTTGTCGAGCGATACGATATTGGAATCTCATTTACATTTACGAAGCAATGGCAGCTGCTGCAGTAATCTATTCGAAGCGATGATGGGACATATTTTAAAAAAAATATGTAAAGTATGTAATCATAGTATATTGATAAATTGTTTGATAAATATAACAAACGAAAAAAAAAAAGAAATATTTTATAAAATCGATAACAATTTCGATCAAAAATAAAAAGGAATAAAATAATAATAATAATAAATGTATTTGATACATGGTATTTGTTTTAGCCATCTCTTTATTTGAATCATCCTTTTGGTTTAGAATTTATTATTAACTAGCGATCAGCCCCAGCTTCGCACGGGTGATTTCTGAATCATCTGATTCACCTGCATCAATAAAAGGGCAACAGCGCCGACACCGGATCCGATTGTGAATCTAAACCAGCCAGGAACCTCCAATGTTCAAACACACACAAAAAATTTCATCAAAGTGTGTCCAGCCATATTCAAGTTGGCAAACTAACGGACAGCAATTGGTTTCTATATATAGAGATAACAGTTATAGTTCAAAAATACTTTCTAAAAAACGGATGCATGCAAAAGAATGGACGTAAATAGATGCACCGAATATAATTTAATCCTGCTGTCGTTGGCGTAATGGAGAACTGCGATAATATAGTAACACAGTTAAATTATCGTGGCTCATCTATAGGAACAGAAATTATTACATTTTACGTTTATTGTTTTTATTCTTCAATGAATTTTATAACACTCGATTAGTTTGATGAGCACCAAGTGTTTTTTTTTAAATTAAATATAATTTTGCACATTACCTTACCTCATTCGTCATTACTGCGACAAAGTAACAAGGTGACAAACAGTTAATTAGCCTCTCCTTGTTATAAAATAATACGCTGTATATGTTGTACATGTAGAACGAGGCAAATATTTATTGAACTTATTTTTTGGCACAAATTTTTGATTATACAAGTTCATAAAAGCCTTCAACAAATTACGTCATTTGAGTCATCATTTTCGTAGTGTTACAATGTGTGTGTGTGTGTGTGTGTGTGTGTGTGTGTGTGTGTGTCTGTGTGCGTGTGTGTGTGTGTGTGTGTGTGTGTGTGCGTGTGCGTGTGCGTGTAAGTGTGCGTGTGCGTGTAAGTGTGCGTGTGCATGTGCGTGTGCATGTGCGTGTGCGTGTGCGTGTGCTTGTGCGTGTGCGTGTGCGTTTGCGTGTGCGTGTGCGTGTGCGTGTGCGTGTGCGTGTGCGTGTGCGTGTGCGTGTATGTGTGCGTACGCGTGGGCGTGTGCGTGTGCGTGTGCGTGGGCGTGTGCGTGTGCATGTGCGTTGCATGTTCGTGTGCGTTTGCGTGTGCGTGTGCGTGTGCGTGTGCGTGTGCGTGTGCGTGTGCGTGTGGGTGTGTGTGTGTGTGTGTGTGTGTGTGTGTGTGTGTGTGTGTGTGTGCGTATGTGTGTGCGTGTGCGTGTGCATGTGCGTGCGCGTGCGTGAGTGAGTGCGTGCGTGGGTGCGTGCGTGCGTGCGTGCGTGCGTGCGTGCGTGCGTGCGTGCGTGCGTGCGTGCGTACGTGCGTGCGTGCGTGCGTGCGTGCGTGCGTGTGTGTGTGTGTATGTGTGTGTGTCTCTTGTCTTTGTTTTACTTATGATCAAATACATCAATCAAACACAACATTTTGGTCATTTTCTTTCTGAAAGAATAAGGATTATTTTTTTATAACACACAGTTCAGCTCATGGTAAGTGGATGCTTTAGCCTATAGACATCTACATTTACCACCGATTAAGAATCAAACGCAGATGCGTTGTCACCCTTGAGAATTACGATGGAATGCCTCTTTTCCAGTTAAAAAGGTCTCTGGTTCTCTACACTCACCGTACAAACTATACGAGTACAGCATTATACTGCTATTTGACGCTAGTATTCTGTGAAATAGCTACATGCAGTAGCTATTTCACAGAATACTAGCTCTGCCACGTAGAGCCACGCTGCAGATCTACCACCAATCTACTGATATACCACTCTCATAGAACAGAATAGAATTTTATTGAATATAGATCATAAATGTACGCGGTAGAGCCACGCTGTAGCTTTATTATGGTTGTAGCACGAATGGGTCGGCTCCACCGGGATGGGACCACGCTGTCACAGAATACCAGCGTAAAATAGCTAGTTTAATGCTGCTGTGTTTCTTTTGGTGAGTGTAGAGATCCGGAGACCCTTTTTTTACTGGAAACGAGCCATTCCACTTTGGTCTTCAGAGGTGACAATGCATTTTCATGTTGAATCTTAATCTAGGATAGATATGAATGTCTATGGGTCACAGAATCCGCTTGCCATCAGGTGGACTGTGTGCTCGTTTGTCACACTTATTCTATAAGAAATAGTTCTTATTGAAAGTCATTTTTTTTCATAATAATAATGAACAGGAAATCACTAAGCGACTCAGCTTCCGATGTTCAGCTCCTTCTAAGTTTATCCCTGTAGAAGATTATATGATTAAAAATTTTGTGCGAAGAAAGGTTTTTTTATGAAATGGGGGTGACAAACGAGCACACAGTTCATCTGATGGTAAGTGCATACTGTTGCCCTTAGACATCTACATTTATCTTCGATAAATAATGAAGAATGAAATGCAGATGCGTTCTCACCCCTGAGGACTACGATGGAATGCCTCGTTTGCAGTAAAAAGGGTCTCCGGTTCTCTACACTCACCATACGAAACACAGCAGAATTAAGCTGTTATTTTACACTGGTACCTTGTTTTTTATTCGTGCTAAAACCATAATATGACTGTAGCATGGCTATACCACGTAAGGTGTTTAAAAAAAATTCCCGCTGGGCTTCTTGCTGGTTACTCCTAGGACAGTTTTTTTTTCGAACCAGTGGTAAAGTAAAAAATGACTTTCAATAAGAATTAAATGTAATTTATATTGAATAAAAACTATTCTATTCTATTTTACATTACAATGTAATACATTTTAGTAGATTACTGAGAACATTATACGACTTAAGGGTTACAAACAGTACGCATGTTCGTGCAAGCGAATACATAATCACGCTTGAACTCATCAACTAGTGAACTGTGACAAGTAATGGGGCTTCATTCTGAAATGCCTATCAATGTCTATCGTAATATTGTTGCTGATTAATGTTATTAGAAAAAATAATCGATAAAACTTTTCTTATCTCTAAATAAACAACTTTCCAACTGATACAAATTGTAAGAATTTTACGTGAGGATAACATGGTCACTTTCTTAGAACTCAAAAACTACAGCCTTGTTTGCATAAATAGCTCTGTGATACGATAGCTCTTAAGGAATCCGTAAATCAAATACATATAATAAAGGGTCAAAAGATTGCTTTATCGACACCATTTTGACAGTTGACATTATAGTAAATATTTTAGTCGATTTTAATATGGTGTAGTGTAGTTAATTCTTTTTAAGTAGGTTTTACGAAATGTTCCTAATTATTGCCAAAGCTTGTTTGTTGTTTTTTTTTAATATATTAATTGTAGTATACGCCTTTGTGTTTTTTTCTCTATCATCATCGTAGTTTTGGTTTTA